GCTAAAGATAGTCTAAGCTGTTACAATAACAATTTTGATACAACATTCCAAATCTCCATCGAGTAAGAGGACATAAAGCGTGGAGTTTTTAATGTTTTTTTTTTTTTTTTTTTTTTTTTTGGAGAGTTTTTAAAGGTATCAGGTGTGTATATTTTAATGATTTTCTTTATAGAATACCCAAAGAACCCAAGCGTAAATTTATACATATAGTTTTTTTGAATGAGCTATTATTACAATATACATGACGTTGGGCGCCATTTTTTATGTTTTAAAATTTGACACTTTAAAATCGATTTTATATTCCATTCCACGACTAATAATTGTCTAAGCTGTTACAATAGCACCAAGTATAACTATCCAAATCTCCACCGACTAAAAAGTCGCAATGTGTTGTAATTCCAATAAAATATATAAAACGTTGGGCGCCATTAAACAAATAAACGTTGAATTCAAAACCGATACTATAAAATTATTCAGAATTTTTTACAAAAATATTAAAATATACATTACGTAACCCATTTTTTATGTTTTTAAATGTGACACTAATGGATTAATATTGGCATTTCAGTTTAATGTTTGCCGAGCTTTTACAATAACAAAATTTTGTAAAAATTTAATTATAAAATCGTTCTCTTTCTTTTTCAGCAAAATGTGTGACACATATGTCTCTTGCTATTTGCACGATTGCTATGCATCGTGCTCATCGTATTATTGCTGTTCTCATAGTCATGTCAAACTATATTGTCGCTGTTCCAGACATCGTCATTGCTATTGCTACTGCTGGAGAAGGAAGTGCCTATTGTAAGAGTGGATGGGAGCTGGACTAACGACAATGCAGTTGAAATGAATTTGGACAACTAAATAAAAAACACACACACAAACACTCACTCACACTATAGTTACGAAATACTTTCACTAAATTTAATTTGTTTTTTTATTAGATTAGTTTTTAGTTAAAATAATAATTAAAATAAGTAGTAGAAGAAGCTCTGTAAAATCTATATTTATGACTCATTAAATAAATAACAAAAAATCTTGAAATGAATTCAGAAAAAAAGAACAAACGAAATGTGTTTTAATAATCAATTTTATTAAATAAGAAATATAAACATTTTTAAAGGCTACAGTATTGAAAACTTTGTAACATCCTGAGGTCCTGAATCAAGCGGGGGAAATTTTGTTTTTGACACACTTTTTATTCGATTCCTTTTGCTATTGTTAGTCTAAGCCTTTTAAAATATTGTATCGAAAATATAAATTCGTTGGGCGCCATATATGGCAGCTATTATATATCGTGAAAATAATTACTTACTTAGCTGGCTTGTGACAGAACTTTCGTTCCATAAGCCGAGCTTAGAAAAGAATTTCAGGCGTGTCGGTCTTTTGCGCACTATTTACCATCAGCTGGTTCGCTTTTATATGCCTTCTGGGCTGGTTAATCTTCATCCATTCACACAAGATGACCTAGCCAACGTAGTCGTTGCAGCTCAATATTTCGATGACCGAGAATAGCTGGTACAACTCATGGTTCATTCGACGGCGATATTCACCGTCATCGCAGACCGGCCCATAGATCTTTCGAAGAATTTTTCTCTCATACACTCCAAGAGCTGCCTCATCTGCTTGCGTAAGTACCCATGCTTCAGATAAATATAACAGCACGGGTAGTATCAGCGTCTTGTAGAGTGTGAGTTTGGTCTGGCGGGAGGTTTTTGCTTTTGAGTTGTTTGCTCAGACCATAGTAGCATCTGTTGGCCATCACCATCCTTCTCCGAATTTCAAAACTGATGTCATTCTTTTTATTAATGGTGGTACCAAGGTATATAAAATCTTTGACTACCTCGAAGCTGTAGTTCTCAAGTTCCACAATTGGTCCGAGTCTACTGGACGTCTTGCGCGTTGATACCATCAGCTTGGTCTTCTCGCCGTTTACTACCAGCACCACTTTGGCAGATTCCTTCTCAGTTTGTTCAAAAGTGGCTCTTTCCGCTCTCAATGTTCGACCCATTATGTCGATGTCATCGGTGTAGGCGAGTAACATATGTTGTTTGGTGTACAAAGTGCCATTTCTGTTCACTTTTGCCTTTCCTATGACCTTTTCCAGCTGGATGTTAAAAAGGTCAAACGACAAACTGTCACCTTGTCTGAATCCTCGTTCGGTATTAAAGGGCTCCAAGAGGTCCTTTCCGACTTTAACTGCTGATCTTGTGCACGTTAAAGTTATCCTGCATAGCCGAATTAATTTTGCAGGAATACCAAACGCAGACAAGACTTCTGAACGGATAGGGCTGTCGAATGCGGCTTTATAGTCGACGAATAGGTGGAATGTGTCGATGTGTTTTTCGTGGGCTTTTTCCAGGATTTGACGCAAATCTGGTCAATGGATTGTCAGGTCTGAAGCCTCAAATGATTCAATGGTTGAGAGCAACGACTCCAAGGGTTTTGAAGACAAGGAAGCCTCAACCCCAGCCGCCGAAGTTGTTACCATCGATGACAGTTCCGATGATGACGATTGCATTGTTCTATCCGACGATGAAGTGGAAGAGGAAGAAGACGACAATGATGATCCGCACAACAGTGGCATGCATGTCAAAGATGAATTCAATGTTCTCGATCATTTGGGACGTGTTGTTATCAATGTCGGCCCATCAAACCCCATCAAATTGGTAAGGTGCGCTTCCTGTTCGACATCATTATCGAATCACCCAAACGCTTCAATGATTCCGGTGGCTTCGGTTGTATTCTGGCACACTCGATGGGTTTAGGTGGAATGTGTCGATGTGTTTTTCGTAGGTTTTGTCCAGGATTTGCCGCAGAGTGAAAATCTGGTCAATGGTGGATTTTCCAGGTCTGAAACCACATTGGTATGGTCCAATAATGCCATTGATTATTTGCTTCAGTCGTTCACACAGTACGCTGTATAGCACTTTATATGCGATGGGAAGGAGACTTATTTCTCCTTATTCCGTGATAATAACTACATCGATTTATTTGCTATATCGAGCTCCATTTATCTCCTATCATGTCATTGTGTAGATTTGCTCAAAATCCGGTGCTAAAAAATATGTACATAATGATTATTAAATGATTTTAAAACAACATCTCCAAAATTATAAAGACCAATTCCAATTAGAAATATGATAATCCTGACCAGCTGCTTGGATTTAAAAATTTATATGTATACGTAAACAAGTATCAGCTGACTGTATTGGCCAGCTGCTTGGATTTAAAAATTTGTATGTATACGTAAACATGTATCAGCTGTCTGTATTTATATCATTTTAATATTAGTCTAAATTTAGTACTTTGATTTACAAATCGAATCGATTTAGACAGCATAGTCTAAACGCGCCCTTCTTTGGCATATATTCAAAGAAAATGACAGCTTAAGTTTGTAGGCATATGTTAACAAATATAAGCTGACTGACTTTATATATTTTTATAAAAAATAATGTTTAAAATGTCGTGTGTAAACGCCAGGTTAGCTTTATTTATGTGATTTTAAAAAATATCACGTTATTCTTGCCCCTAATCCATAATTTCCATATAAAATTCCCCCTTTCATTTGCCTCCTATTTCATTTTAAAGCGTTACGTTTAACATATGGCTGTTACCTTTACACTACGTTACGTACGTAACGTTACGTCTCTTCGACTAATTGCAAACCAAGATAACCGTACCAAATGAAAACAAAACAACAAAACATTCCCCATCTCACATCACATACCAGGGATGGAAAATAAAAAATGTGAAAAGGTACCAAAAGAGTACATTTTTTAATAAAAGGGTACTTTTTTCAAGAAAATACAAAAAAAAAATATTTTATTCAGTTTCATAAAGATCGATTTTCAAGATATCACTTAGTGTACCTTTCTGATGGTAATAATATGAGAATTCTTGCTTCTTTCGATTGCATTTGAATATGTATGCTACTGACTAATTTCAAATTCATTACCTCTTTCTCGAAAGCCAATACATATACCCCAAACTAACATGAATTTCAGTTCCAAAGTGCTCTTAAAATTATTGAAGTAAACTCGACGACTAGGAATATCATCAATTTGCCTACCTTAGGAGATAGCAGAGTATGCCAAATTGAGTATCTGACAAACATATCCATTTGTAATTTTAATCATAACTGAACAGTTATCAGTCGAAAACCTGTTCATTTTTTCAAGAGAAATATTGCAATCACATCAATATCTTTATCTGCATACTTTTGTCGGTAAATCAATGTCATGCTGTGTTTTTGATATTTTGCGAGAGAGGAGTAGTACAACGGTAGAGAGTGAGAGAGAACGAGCGAGCGTGAATATTTGTGCAAGAAAATTGACTTGAGGACAAAAAAAAAAGAAAAACGAAGGAACTACACCGTGAAAAGTTATAAAATAAATTCTCAATTATGTTGCAAGAAAACTAAAGGACAATGCGATCTACACAAGCGGTATTTAATTTATTAAAGTGACATATAATTAAAAGAAAAACAAAGCAAGTTATTTGTAAAATTCGGTTAATACAAAAGAGGTGTGAACAAAGTTTGAACTCTGCGAAAAAGTTCTGTATCTCTTCACACGGTTGGTTCTCTTCTTTGGTGGTATCCGACGACGATTTTTTTAATGGAAAACTACTATTAAAATACAAAAGTTGGCTATTAAAATTTCCCCCTGATGATTTTTTTTTGTTAAACTAGAACAAAAGAAATATGCCTGTGCAAGATAAATAATTGTGTTATATCTGCTGCTCTCAATGAACATAGAAGATATGTTTGTTCATGTTTTAAGTATGTAATGGATTCGCGGAGGACAACATATTTCTATACATTGTTTTTGGTATACATATACTACAACTATATGGGGATTTTGATGACAGCTAGAAGAAAATCATCAAATTGCCCTGAAAAGATGTAATACGGCAATTAAATGCATGAATAATTATTCCTAAGAGGAGCGACGAACGTACGAGCAAAGAACTAGAAGAAGAACAAGCACTAGGCTATAAATATGGACAAACCAGAAGTATTAAATTATATGGAAAATATGAGTGCAACAGCGGCAGTAGCAGCAGCGGTGGATCCGGCAATGCATTATGGAATGTATGGCATGTTGGGTCATCCACTGGCAGCCGGTGTTGATATTCCCACCACATCAGTACCCGGGGATTATGATACTACCAACAGTCTACAACATTTGCAGCAGCAACATCAGCAATTAATTGCAGAGCAACAACATCTTCAGCAGCAACAACAACATCATTTGGAAATGCAACAACATCTGCAACAAACAACAGCACAACAACAACACCAGCAGCAGCATCAGCAACCACCACCACCACAAGATACCAGCAATGATACCAAACCTCCAAGTCCAACGGAACAATCAAACACATCCAGTGGTAATACTGGCGTTCCAAATGAACCGAACAATTCCGCTGCAACCAACCCCACAAATATGGACACCACAGATTCTTCCCCTGAGGCTCAAAAGCGTCGAAATACCACACTGGCCACGGACAACAGTCTCTTGGCCAAAAAGCAACATCTCAATCAAATGGCCGAGGAAAAAAAGAAATCTGTCCTACGTAAAAATATTCGCGAGGTAATGGATACCAATCAGCTGGATACAAATACCCTCAAAGCCCAACATGAAGAATCCGAGCGTTTGGCACGCATGGCTGAACAGCAAAAGCTATTACGGGAATATCAACAACGTGAAGCAGTATTAACACATTTCGATCGTTTTGTCAATGAACATCGCGTAAAGGATCCCTCAGATCTTTTGATAGAAGAAAAAGCGAAAAGTATTAAACCCCAATCATCGCAACAACAACAACAAATTGTCAGCAAGGATGATTCTGAAATTGTGGGCGGCGAGGGCGAAGATGATTTGAAAATCAAAAGTCCAGCTGATTCAATGGTTGAGAGCAACGACTCCAAGTGTTTTGAAGACAAGGAGGCCTCAACCCCAGCCGCCGAAGTTGTTACCATCGATGACAGTTCCGATGATGACGATTGCATCGTTTTATCTGACGATGAAGTGGAAGAGGAAGAAGACGATAATGATGATCCGCACAACAGTGGCATGCATGTCAAAGATGAATTCAATGTTCCCGATCATTTGGGACGTGTTGTTATCAATGTCGGCCATCCCGATGATGAGGAAGATATTTTCATAGCTCCTCAGATTGCCCGCACGATTAAACCCCATCAAATTGGTGGGGTGCGCTTCCTGTTCGACAACATTATCGAATCGCCCAAACGCTTCAACGATTCCGGTGGCTTTGGTTGTATTCTGGCACACTCGATGGGTTTGGGTAAAACCCTGCAAGTAGTATGTTTCTGTGATATATTCTTACGGTATACACCGGCCAAATATGTGGTCTGTGTCATGCCCATAAATACCCTACAAAATTGGAACGCCGAATTCGATATGTGGATACCGAAATATTCGGACAATCCCGAATACATAAGGCCAAGGGAATTTGATGTTTTTGTACTTAATGACCAGCAAAAGACATTGACAGCCCGTTCACGTATCATCTTGCAGTGGAAGGAAAGGGGAGGGGTACTCCTAATCGGCTATGAACTGTTTCGCCTATTGGCCCTGAAGTTGAACTCCACAAAGCGGCGCAGTAAGAAACAACAAATGAATATGGATAATAATGAATCTCGCAGCCCTCTAATGGATCAGGTATATGAAGCTTTGGTGAAACCCGGTCCCGACCTAATAATCTGTGATGAGGGCCATCGCATCAAAAATGTTCAAGCTGGCATATCACAAGCCTTAAAGCAGATACGTACACGCCGGCGTATTGTGCTCACCGGTTATCCCTTGCAAAATAATCTACTCGAATATTGGTGTATGGTGGATTTTGTGCGACCCAATTATTTGGGTACCCGCACCGAATTCTGCAATATGTTTGAGAGGCCCATACAAAATGGCCTCTGTGTAGACTCTACCCCGGATGATATCAAGTTAATGCGTTATCGGGCTCATGTTTTACATTCACTGCTGGTGGGTTTTGTTCAACGCCGTTCCCATCGGGTTCTCCAACAATCGCTACCCGAAAAACAGGAATATGTTATACTCACCCGAATGTCAGAATTACAAAAACAATTGTATGATACCTTTATGAATGATATAGTAAGGACAAAGAATGTTCCGAATCCATTGAAAGCATTTGCGGTGTGTTGTAAAATATGGAATCATCCGGATGTGTTATATGATGCCATGAAGGCGGCGGAAACGGGCATGGAAATGGACATTGAGGGTGTGGATGAAGTTGAGAGTATGGCCAGCACAACAAGTGGTGTACATAAAAATGGATTTCCACCGCCTGTACCAGGACCACCACCGCCCAACAGAATGCAGCATGATATGACACCAACATCATCAATGGCAACCGGTTTGGGGGAAAATGGTAACCAATTTAATGAAAACTCCAATCTCATGCCACCTAATAATCAGTATCTGCGACAAAATGAGCCACCAAAACCAATGGATAAACACAACAATTTTCAAAGGTAAGTTCTTAAAAATGATTAAAATTCAAAAAAAAATATTAACACTTTTTCTCTATCCCCTAGCCCCTCCATTTTTAGCGATTTAAATCAATACGAAAATCCCAATCTAAACAATACCAACAGCAGCTATAATCCCGATTTACAAACGAATTATTTTTCCTATCCCACCATGATGCATACAATGGGTAGTCCCCTCAAGCCCAACTATGTTGGTTGTATGTTAAAACAATCGGGAGGCGGCGGTATGGGTGGTCCGAATGAATCAATGATAACCGAAGATTCCCATAATTCATCATCGGAAATTGTTGATTTGGATACAAATGAAATAAAAACAATTGAAACCGATATTGATATGGATAAAAATATTTCATTGGATAGAACAGCAGCATCCACCTCCTCGGGTATATCCTCGTTGGGTATGGACGGTTCGACAGAAACATCATGTAGTACACAAAATGATTTGGAAACAAAATCGGAAAGTGGTAGTCATGTTAGCAGTTCCATTGCCACAACGGAAAGTAATGATACAGCTGTGGAGAAACGTGGACCCGAAAAAATCACCTATGATTGGGCCACAAAGTTTTTGAAAAAATACGAACCTGGTCTCATTAAGAATTCACCCAAAATGGAAATATTCTTTTGTATCCTGAATGAGAGTGTTAAGATTGGTGATCGGGTTCTACTCTTCAGTCAAAGTCTTTTGACACTGAATGTTATTGAGAAATTTCTACAGGTCACACGAATGCCGGACACGGATCAATGCTGGATATATAATACACATTATTTTCGTAAGTTAAAATTTTGGAGATAATTTTTTGTATATTAAAATTAATATTTTTTCTTAATAGGCTTGGATGGTTCAACCACCTCTCAAGAGCGTGAAAAATTGGTCAATGAATTTAATTCAAATACAAATGTTAAATTGTTCCTTATCTCAACTAAAGCTGGATCTTTGGGTATTAATCTCGTTGGAGCTAATCGTGTGATTATATTCGATGCAAGCTGGAATCCATGTCATGATACACAGGCGATTTATCGAATTTATAGGTAAGTACAATTCGACAAAAAATAATTAAAATAAATATTAAAAAAAAATATTATTTCCAAAAAGTAAAAAATCCAAAATTAAAAAAAAAATCTATTTTTTTTAAATTAAAAATTGGAGAAAAAAATTCAAAATTAAAAAAAAAATATATATATATATATATATATATTTTCCAATTGTTTCTATATTTTTTTTTAATATTTAATAAACATTTTTTCCTTCCTTCTTTTTTAGATACGGACAAAAACGTTCTTGTTTCGTTTATCGTTTGGTTATGGACAAATGTCTGGAAAAGAAAATCTATGATCGTCAGATTAAAAAACAAGGCATGTCTGATCGTGTTGTTGACGAATGTAACCCGGATGCACATCTATCGATTAAAGATGTAACCAATCTATGCTATGACTACGATGATGATGTTGTTGGTGGTGATGGTGAAAATCGATCAGCCACAACAAATAGTGATTTTCCAAAACCAATTGAATCCTATACGGATACAATTATGAAAATCATATTAACGGAATATAAAACACATCTAACGAAAGAACCATTCTTCCATGAAAGCCTATTGGTTGATCGACAAAATGATAAATTATCACAGGCGGAAAAGCGTCAGGCACATCGTAGCTATGAAATGCAAAAGAAAACCTCATCGAAGACGGCGATGTATACAACAACGGGTGGTACGCGGATGCCTTATCAAACGGTAAGTTAATTGTTAAGTGGAGAAAAAAGAAACTAAACTAGGTACCTTCTTCTTTGCAGAATCGCACACAAACGGTACAGAAAAATAGCAGTGGTCTTCGTTCCACCAGATGGATACCGGCTGAGGTTTGGCAAAAACAAGGCATGACGGCCCAGGAAATGTCATTACCTTTAGGTAAATATACCCTAACACCAGGAAACATAGCAGAGGAAAATAATTCCATTATGATAACAATTTCCTGTCTCTGGTTTTGAAATTATTATTTAAATTCAATTTCTAATTTTGTTTGATTTTTGTTCTAATTTCCCAGATGTTGTTATACCCACAAATTCAAGTAATAAATCAAAAATCATTATCAAGGCTGGCCAACGTGTTATGGTATTGAAATCGGCCAAAGGCATTTACATGCAATTGGATAGTGGTAAAATTATTGCCATACGTACCCTAAATAAGCCAGCCGCACCATCAACGGAGAAAAGTGATGTCATCGATATAACTGGTGAATCGGACACAATATCATCGAACAAAGATACTAAGACTGAAAAGTCCGATACGGAAAATAATGCAACTAAAGGTAATAAATTTAAATATTTATTTTTTAATTTCTACATCATAAAAAATCATTCAAAATCAAAATTTTGAACAATGGTTTCCGTTTTGGTATAGCTCCCACATAACCTAAACACAAAATATTAAAATTATTCGTTATTTTTGAAACGATTATGCTGAAATTTGGTAATTTATTTTTTTTTGGTAATTTGTGAATTATTACGATATATCGGATGAAAAATCTTGTGACAATAAATTACCAAAATAGATTTACGTCTCCGATCTATCGTATAGACCTTGCATACTCTAACCACAAAATTGCAAATATTTTCAATATTTTCCAAACGATTTTACGGAGATTCTGTATTTTGAATTGTCTATGTAAGAGTAATCATAAAACAAGTAATTATCGAGATTAGATCCACGTTTCCATACAGACCCCACATAACCTAACCCCAAATTTTTACACAATTTCTTTATTTATCAAGCGATTTTGCTGAAATTTGGTAAAATGGTTTTCCCTTGAATGGTTAATATTATGACTGAAAATTATTCAAATTGGTCCACGTTTTCGTAAAGCTGGATTTTATATAACCTAACCTCAAAATTTTACAAAAAATTCATTATTTTTCTACCAATTTTATTGAGATTCGGCGATATGGAATAACTTTCCAAAAATTGTCTTGTGACAAAAAATTATAAAGCCAGGTCCATATTTTCGTATAGCCCTCATATGACCTAACCTCAAAATTTTGCAAAAATGGAATTTCCTGTCAACCAATTTTATGGAAATTCGGAGATTTGGATTAACAAGGCATGAATTATCTTGTGACAAAAAATTATAAAGCCAGGTCCAAATAGCCCCCATATAACCTAACCTCAAATGACATTATCTGTCAGCCAATTTTATTGAAATTCGGAGATATTTTCGTATAGCCCCCACATAACCTAACCTCAAAATTTTACAAAAATTTCATTATCTGTCAACCAATTTTAATGAAATTCGGTAATTTGGTTAATCTTTGCAAGAATTATTTTGTGGCAAAAAATCATGAAACTAGGTCCATATTTTCGTATAGCTCCATACATCATAACCTCAAAATTTTTACAAAAATGTCATTATCTGTCAACCAATTTTAATGAGATTCGGTGATTTGGTTGAACTTTGCAAAAACTATCTGGTGGCAAAAAATTGTGAACCTACGTCCATATTTTCGTATAGCCCCCATATAACCTAACCTCAAAATTTTACAAAAATCGTACTACTTGTCAACCAATTTGATTGAAATTCTGAGATTTGGATTAACATGACAAGAATTAACTTGTGACAAAAAAATGTGAACCTACGTCCATATTTTCATATAGCCCCCATATAGCCTAACCTCAAATTTTTAGAAAATTTTTATTATCTCTCAACCAATTTTATTAAGATTTGGTAATTTGATTTAACATTGCAATAATTATCTTGTGGAAAAAAATCATGAAGCTAGGTCCATATTTTCGTATAGCTCTTAACCTAACCTCAAAATTTTGAATATTTTCATTATTATCGACCGATTTTGATGGAATTCGGCGATATGGGTTGTCGTTGAATAAATATACTTATGACAAAAAATTATCAAAATAGGTCGAAGATTTCGTATATCCTCCACATAACGTAACCTCAAAATTTTAAATATTTTCATTATTTTCCAAATTACTTTGCTGATCTCTGGTACTAAGAGTTGTTCTTAGATAAATAATCTTGTGGTAAAGAATGTTCAAAATAGATTTACTTTTCGATATAGCTCCCCTATAACCTAACCTCAATTATTTTTTTTTCAGATTCAAATTCGACAGAAAGTGGCACAAATCCAACATCTTCATCATCGTCTACATCACTACTTGCTGCTAATGCTGGAGCAACAACGAAATCCATTGAAATGCCAAATGAAGCATCATCTTCCCTATCATCGTCAACAGCAACAACAACTTCACAGTTAGATTTATTCAATACTACAGCAACAACAACAACAAACAAGGCCAATACAACTGAACTAGAAAATAAACTAACGCGTAATATTTCCAAAACAAATGCTGACAATCAAGAGACTTCGGCTATGACTGGTAACTTCCAGCAAAGGCAGCATTTAACACAGACCCAAACATCGTCACAAATAACACAACAACAACATCGTTCCCAAAATTCTCATCTGTCACAGCATATGCTTAATGAACAACAACAGCATCAGCAAACACAATTGCAAAATGTCCACGCAACAGCACAACAACAACAAAATAATCCCACACTAATGCATTCCTCTCAAGCTACAGCCCAATCATCATCGTCCGCTTCAGCAGCAGCCACATCATCAGCATACCCAAGTCAACATCAAACTTATAATATTTATTCACAGCATCAACAACAACAAACTCCTCGCAGTTCACAGCTTTATAATTCACGAAGTGCTGCCGAGGCGCTTGGCTCTAATTTCCACCAAACAACAGCGGCAGCAGCACAACAACCTCCACCGCCACCACAATTTAGCGATTACCCTACCTATGGATCTCATCAACAACAGCAGGTGCAGCAACAACAGAACGTTGCACGTTATCACACAACAACATCAAATTCATCACACACTGATTTATCATCGTCTGCCGCCAGTCACTCACATTCGCTTGCCGCACCACCACCACCCCATTCACATGCTCCACCCCAACCACCAGCTTCCCTGTCGGACTTTTACAACGCCTACTATCCACAATGGTCGTCGTTTATGTTGGCCTCTCCATCCCAAAATCCTGATGGCTCCCATTTAATGCATAATGCCGCGGCTGCAGCAGCAGCTGCTGCGGCCGCCGCCGCTGCTGCCTCCACATATCCACCCATTGCACCGCCACCAACCCATACACATTCCCATCATGCAAAAGTGCAGCCGAACGCGCATCAACAATGGCCCCAACATTATCATCCATAATTATTGTTTGCCAAAATGCTGTTATATGTTTGAGGCCTACAACAACACTACATTTAAATTAAAACCCCAAATACACACACACCCACACGCCCCTCTTTACATCCTACCTACCTACTACTAACTACTTACATGCATACATACAACAAATACATGGAGCATAAACTAATTTGCAAAAACAAAAAAAAAAAGCAAAAAAACTAAATCTAAATTCACACATTCGTACATAGCATTCTTAGTGTACGTAAGTGTTTTACTTTTTAAATAAATATTTGATTATTTAATAATATTAAGCAAAAAATAAAAAAACAACAAAAAGAAGAAAAGGAAAATTTAAACTATTATTAAAACTATATGAAAAAAGAGAAAATAAAACAAAACAAAAAAATCAAATAGTTTAGCAATAATTAAAATGAATTAAATAATAAAAAAGGAAATTATAATTTTAGAAGATATCATAATCGTGCGTGTTTTATTTCAAAAAAGATTTTCAATTGTATAAAAAAAGTATTAAGAAATTACCTTATTTCTTGACTAACCGTTTTCATCCCCAAAGTATGCAACAGTTTTTGTTAGTATATCTCATTGGTTTGTGGGAAATAGTGTAGTAACGCCTAATCTTATTGGAACTTTGTAAGCAATCGGATGGGAAGTGTGAAAAATACCATACAATTGGAATAAAAAGATATTATCTAATTTACGTAAGTAATTAAAATAAAACGCAAATCTTTATCTATGTTATCTGAAAAATACATATTTGATTATTGATTTCCAAACGAGATAAAATAGATAACTATTTTACATCGAAGATGTATATGTATTAAAGATGACATTATCTCAATGACCCAAATAAATTATCTAAGTTATCTAAATGACTTTAATGAATTATCTATGTAATCTAAATGACATAAAAAATACATTATGTATGCTTTCTAGCCAGATAACATATCAAAATGGCTTCGGTAGATAAATGGCTATGAGGTAGATAAGTTATCTAAATGATGTTAATAAATTCTTAAAGTTATCTAAAAGATGTAGAAAAATTTGTAAGTACTCTAAATGACTTAGATACACCATCTGTGTTAGGAAAATGACTTAGATAAATTATCTAAATTACGTAGAAAAATTTTCTAAATTGCATAAATCACGTAAATCGTATTTAAATGTCCTACATAACTTTTCTGAGTTATCTAAACTACCTAAATAAATTATCAAAGTTATCTATATGACTTTGACAAATTATCTATGTTATCTAAATGGCATAAATACATACGATTTAGATCAATTATCTATGTTATATGACATAGATAAATTATCTAAGCTGTAAACAAATATCTATGTTCTCTAAATGACTTAGACACACCATCTAAGTACTCTAAATGACTTAGATACACCATCTGTGTTAGGAAAATGACTTAGATAAATTATCTAAATTACGTAGAAAAATTATCTAAATTGCGTAAATCACGTTTATCGCATCTAAATGTCCTAGATATAATTTCTGAGTTATCTATACGACCTAAATAAATTATCTAAGTTATCCATATGACTTTGACAAATTATCTATGTTATCTAAATGGCATAAATACATACGATTTAGATCAATTATCTATGTTATATGACGTAGATAAATTATCTAAACTGTAAACAAATACCTAAGCCCTCCAAATTACTTAGATACACCATCTATTTTAGGTAAATGACTTAGATAAATTATCTAAATTAACTAAATTACATAGAGAAATTAGCTATGTTATCTAACAGTCCTAGATAATTTTTCTGAGTTTTCAAAACTACCTAAATAAATTATCTAAGTTATCTATATGACTTTGTCGAATTATCTAAGTTATCTAAACGACTTTGTCGAATTATCTATGTTATCTAAATGATGTAGATAGCATATTTAAATGGTTTAGATAAGTTATCCATGTTATATGACGTAGATAAATTAACAATTTTTTTTTTAAAATAATGCTAAATTGTCAAAGTTATCTAAATGATTTAAAAAAAATTATCTAAGTTCTCTAAATGACTTGACATCGATGATAGATTAATGATTTAGATAAATTATCTAAATTGCCTAAATTACGTTGGAAAATTATATAAGTTATCTTAATGCTCTGGACAACTTATCTGAGTTACCTAAACGGCCTAAATAATTTATCTAAGTTATCTAACTGACTTTTATGAAATATCGACCTAATAAATTATCTAAGTTATCTAAATAACTTAGATAAGGCCTAAGTAAAGACCTTGAAAAAATATTTTTAAAAAATCCACGCCTAAGCATAGGCCTTATAACCATAAAAATGTTGTTTAAAATGTCCAGGCTTTAGAATGAGCCTTTAAAATATGCACGCCTAAGGATGCATGCAACAGCTGATAAGTATAATTTGGCTAGAGGAATGCATTGCCCAATGATTGGAACCTTAGCATCCCGGTGTCCCGTGCACAAAAAAGGAGATAAGACGATATTTGCCAACTATAGAGGAATTAGCCTTCTTCCCATCGCATATAAAGTGCTATCCAGTGTGCTGTGTGAACGATTGAAGCCAATGGTCAATGACATAATTGGACCAATACCAATGCGGCTTCAAACCTGGCAAATCCACCATTGACCAGATTTTCACTCTGCGCCAAATCCTGGAAAAGACTCATGAAAAACCACCATTGAACAAATTGAGAAGGGGTCAGCCAAAATGGGTCTGGCAGAAAACGGCGAGAAAACCAAGCTGATGGTATCCACGCGCAAGACGTCCAGTAGACTCGGACCAACTGTGGAATTTGTGAACTACAGCTTCGAGGTAGTTAAAGATTTTATATACTTTGGTACCGCCATAAATAAAACGAATGACATCAGTTTTGAGATACGGAGAAGGACTGTGATGGCCAACAGATGCTACTATGGTCTACGTAAGCAGTTTAGAAACAAGGCCACCTCCCGCCTGACCAAACTCACACTTTACAAGACGCTGATACTACCCGTGCTGTTATATGGATCTGAAGCATGGGTACTTGCGCATGCAGATGAGGCAGCTCTTAGGGGTGTTTGAAAAAAAATCTCCGAAAGCCGTCGAATGAGTTGTACCAGCTATTCTCAGACATCGACATTGTTAGACGTATTGAGCTGCAGCGACTACGTTGGCTAGGTCATGTTGTGAAAATGGATGAAGATGCCCCAGCCCAGAAGACATATAAAAGCGAACCAGCTGATGGTTCACGCAGAAAGGGAAGGTCACGAATAAGATGCAAAGACCATGTGGAAGAAAACATTGCCGAATATGGTCTTTCAAAGTGGAAAAACTGTGCAAAAGACCGACGCGCCTGGAAATCATTTATAAGCTCGGCTTATGGAACGTTCTGTCACAGTTCTGTCACAAGCCAGCTAAGTAAGTAAGTAAGTGGAAGGCTGTTGTTCCAAAGACATGTGGCCTATAAAATCGATATTTCAATAAGTTGCATTTTATATCGTATATAGGTTTATGCTAAGCCTTGGGCTTTTCAAATTTACTTATACGAAAGTTTTTTTTGTTGGTGGAGGCAAATTTTCAAATACCACTTGTTATGGAATATTTTTAATAATAAAAATAAATTCAAATGCACCTGGCATGATTTTTCCAAATTCCTATATAGATTTTCCTGCATTTTTTGTCAACAGCTGACATACAAACATACCTACATACATATGCATTTCCACGAAAACAATGCAAATAATATAAGTTCTCTATTGTTTCATTAAAAAAATTAATGGTTTGTGCCACTTGGCCTCAGGTCATTTTATAGGGGGTGACAAATGCATATGCATACATACACACATACTAATAACGATCGTTTTTCAAAAAATATGTTTTTAATTATATAATAAGGAATATATATGGAGTGGGTATACTCATGCCCATATGTCAACATACTTACATACTGATGTTATTATTAAGCCAAGCAAGCAAACAACCATCCACCCCAAAACTGCTGTGGATCGGGCATTACAAATTAACATAACTTTTGTAATATCTGTCGAGAAGTTGAAAAGCAGCAACAACTAAAAAATAATCAAATAGATTGTAAAATGTAAATTAAAAAATATACACAAAAAGGTGGCGGTGGTGGTGACTGACTTACTGACGGTTATACCTTGCTGCATATGGACATGCTTGAAAACACCTTGCAGCTGTGCGGTGCGGTGGCGCGCGGCATGTGTACATATATTGCGATGGATGGATGGCACGCTCTATTGTTATGTGTTCGGTAGGTTCGTTTGGTACGTTCATTCTTTTGGCCGCCAGTTAGTTTTTGAAACATTTCCACATCAAGATATAATGTTACTCTTTGCCAGTACTACCTCTGCCGGTTATCTATCTGCCTGTCCGTCCGTCTGTCATAAAGGGGTGGAAGTAGTTTTAAAACAGAGTTTAAGACTCTTTACGCTTTATGCCTTTCTAAGCATGTGACTATATGTGTGTCTGTGTGTGTTTGTTGTGGGGGCCTTATACGACAACGACCTTTTATTGTGGGTGATTAAGCCAAAAACCAAACCGGCAGGCAGACAGGCCAGCCAGCTAGCCTGGCAGGAAAGCACACATGTGTAGTACCGCTTTGGCAGGAAGGAAGGGGGAACAAGTTAAATGTAAACAAACCATGACCAAATGCGTTTTTTGTTGTTGTTCCAATTTTCACTCAAATGTAAAGTAATTCATAACACTAAAGTAGTAGAAGAAGAAATAAAAACTACAATAATTGCAGAAACATAAAACAACAGATATGTACTTACCACCGATCCGTATGAATAGAAAACATATAGTGCGCGGCAATTATATCAAATGTCAGGAAAATTAAAAAAAACACACGAACAATAGTATTTGGAAATGATATTCCTTTTTGTTGCAATATTCCTAACATCAAACCTTCATACTTCATCGTTACTAGAAGATGTTCTGTCGGACAATTGCAGCAAATTTGTTTGATGCCATACCAATTGGTGTTGTAAGTTACTGAACCGATTGACCGGGTTTTATTTCAAAAGACTATTAATGGAAGGCATGGCACAATAAATAGGTAGTCCATTTAGCTCTGCTGCTGTCTCGATTAACTGTCAAAGTGCGTAATTTCTACTTGAATTCGGTGATTAATGTTGCCAGCCGTGTGAAATAATATATGAAAATATTTGACAGAAGATCAAGACAAAAACAAATGTTTTTTTTTGTGATACATCCCCTTATTATTACATCATAATTGGAAGGCATAATGAATGTCAAGATCTATTAATAAGGTCACCCAGCGAGTCAGCTGTTTTCACATAGCGAATCAGCTGTTTTTTCTCAAAAATTTAGAATTTGTCTACGTTTTCATAATGGAAGTCAATTCACAATAATGAATTGAGAGGCAACTGATATCCAGCTGGTCTCCTTGGATGACCTTATCTATAGGCCTTGATGGATGTCATGATGCAATAATAAGGTGATGTATCAAAACAAAAACATTTGTTTTTGTCTCGACCAGCTGTCAAATTTTTTCATATCATGTTTTACATGGTTGACAACATTGCACATCGAATTTAAGTATAAATTATCACTTTGACGGTTAATCGAGACATCAGCTGCGCTAAATGGACTACCTATTTATTGTACCATGGTCTTGACCATCTGTGAAATTGTTCCTTATAATATTTCACAAGGTTGGCAACATTGCACGTCGAATTCAAGTAGAAATTGCGAAATGGATTACCTATTTATTGTGCTTTGGTGTCGACCATGGCCTATAAATAAGTTTATCCAGGGATACCAGCTGAATAACTGCGCCACTCAAGTTTGCTGTCAAAATGTCGACATTTTTGACATTAGTCTTGAGAAAAAACAAGCTGTTTTCCGAATTCGATTGATACTTGAACGACCTTATTTATAGATCTTAGTCTCCACCATCTGTAAAATTGTTCCTTATAATATTTCACGAGGTTGGGAACATTGCACATCGAATTCAGGTAGAAATTATGCGCATTGACAGTTAATGGAGTCATCAGGTTGTCGCATAGGCTACTTTACTGAATATACCATGGTATGGTATAATAGATACCAAGCAACGGCTCTGATTGGCTTTAACATGGCGAAACCCAGGCTTATCTTGGTATCTCTTTCATCTCAATTGTGGACACTGACCTCCTCGCGGTGTCATCACCCGTTCAAATAGTGAGCTGATATGTGCCGCAGGAAATGCGATGGAAAGGAACGGGAGTAAGTAAATCAGATGATTACGCCCTGTATTATAGCTGTCATAAAACGAGCCATGAATTTGGCTACGGATTTATGGTTAACGGGAGAATAAAATAACTCGTCTCCAGATTCACTCCAATAAATGACCGAATTGCTATAAATCGTATAAAAGCGAATTTCTTCTACATCGGTTTTATTTGCGCTCATGCTCCGATCGAAGACAAAGATGGGCAGACCAAAGACATATTTTACGAGCGCACAGAAACAGCATATGACCAATGATCTGGCCATGACATTAAAATTCTGCTAGAAGATTTTAATGCAAAAATCGGAAGGGAAAATATTTTTGTAGTGTAGCAGCAAAGGTGCGATCTATTGTATCACGTAAGCTCGACGACGAAAGCTGCAAACACAACAGATAGCAGAAGCCTACTCCGATCAACTTACCCAACTGCTTGACGACAGTACTACTTGCCCCGATAATAATATAGAAGCACAAAGGCAGAGAATTCCCCCACTCCCCACAAACTGCAGCAAAAGCAACCTTTGGGTACCAAAGACCACCATCAAGAAATCCGTGGTACGATCAGGAGTGTCGTAATGCTACTGATATGAAAAACGCAGCGTATAGGGCAAACCTGCAGACAGTAGCAACACGTAATGCGATGGAGAATTATATGGGGAGAAAAGGAGAGAGGAGAAACGTATTTTCAGAAAAATGAAGAAAGACGTGAGCGTGATCAAATCGAGATTTAAAGGAGTCAGAATGAAGTCCAGAAATTTTACCAACGAGTAAAACACCAAACCGAAGGCTTTGGTGCAGGCAGATCCTCCTGTAGAGATGAAGAAGGAAACCTGGTGACAAAAAAACTTCTGATATCAAATAGTAACGGTGAAGAGGATACCCCGGAACCAATAATAGATGACGGTATAGATTGTATATCATCTAGCCAAGATGAGGTCAGAATAGCAATCGGCTGAAGAATAATAAAGCAGCAGGTGCCGATGAGATACAAGGCGAACTATTCAAGACTGGTGGTCAGATGCTGGTAAGGAACATGCACTAGCTGATTAGTACAATTTGGCTAGAGGAATGCATGCGCAATGATTGGAACCTCAGCATCCTGTGTCCCGTGCACAAAAAAATGAGACAAGACAATATGTGCCAACTATAGAGGAATAAGTCTCCTTCCCATCACATATAAAGTGCTATCCAGTGTGCTGTGTGAACGACTGAAGCCAATGGTCAATGACATTATTGGACCATACCAATGCGGCTTCAGACCTGCCAAATCCACCATTGACCAGATTTTCACTCTGCGCCAAATCCTGGAATAAAACCCACGAAAAACACATCGACACATTCCACCTATTCGTCGACTATAAAGCTGCATTCGACAGCCCTATCCGTTCGGAAGTGTATAAAGCCATGTCTGCGTTTGGCATTCCTGCAAAATTAATTCAGCTATGCAGGATAACTTTAACACAAGATCAGCAGTGGTAGTTTTTTCCTTTTTAACATCCTGCTGGAAAAGGTCATACGAGAGGAAAGGTGAAAAGAAATGGGACTCTGTACACCAAACAGCATATGTTACTCGCCTACGACGACGACATCGACATAATGGGTCGAACATTGTGAGCGATAACAGCCACCTTTGAAGGAGTTGAGAAGGAGTCTGCCATAGTGGAACTAGCAGTAATTGAATGACATCAGTTTTGAAATTCGGAGAAGGATAGTGATGGTCAACAGATGATACTATGGTCCAGACCAAACTCACAATTTACAAGACGCTGATACTACCCGTGCTATTATATGGATCTGAAGCAGGGATACTTGCGCTAGCAGGTGAGGCAGCTCTTGGGGTGTTTGAAAAAAAAATTCTCCGAAAGATCAACGGGCCGATCTGCGTCGACGGTGAGTATCGGCGTCAAATGTACCAGCTATTCTCGGACATCGACATTGTTAGACGTATTAAGCAACAGCGACTACGTTGGCTAGGTCATGTTGTGAGAATGGATGATGATGCCCCACCCCAGAAGGCATATAAAAGTGAACCAGCTGATGGTTCGCGCAGATGGGGAAGGCCAAGAATACGTTGGAAAGATCAAGTCGAAGGCAATATCGCCGAAAATGGTCTTTCTGACGCGCCTGGAAATCTTTTTTAAGCTCGGCTTATGGAACGTAAGTTCTGTCACAAGCCAGCTAAGTAAACAAAGTTAAAATTTTTGACATTAGCATTGAGAAAAAAACAGCTGACTCTCGCCAGCTTGGTGAGCATTTTAATAGATCTTGCTAGCAGCAATAACGTTGCCTTAAGGACATACACGTAACCGGTTCTTTTTATTCATCTCGACTTATTTTCGATTATCACTAACTAGCACACACATGTGTGTAGCCTTCATTTTTTTGTTGGCCATATGATATTGACCGGTCGGTCCTATATTCTTACGACTCAAACACATATTTCTTAGAGCGTAACCAATCTTTTGTTCGGTTCGCTCTTTTTGACGTAGAAAGAACAAAATGAAAATAAACAAAACCTACCACCAGTGGCACCAGCACTATTAATTGCAGAGTGCAAAAAACAAACACACACAATGACAACAACAACCATATTTTCTTCCTTTCGACCAAAACAATTTAGTTCGTGGTGTTGTAGCTGTTGTTATCCGCTCACTCACTCATAACGGGCAAATGGCTTGGGCCAACCAATTGGAACGACAACGGCCAGGCAGACAGACGGACGGACTGACATACGGACCTATGTTGTTATTTTTGTACAGCGCCGCACACACACACTGTGAGCGTTCGTTTGTGCACTCATTCGTTCGCTCGCTCGCTCAAATGATCGCACAAACGGATACGCTCAGTTGTCGGACACTTTTTGAAACAATCGGTTGGTATCACCATCATCATCACCCAAAAACAACACCCAACTAGCCGCCCAATTTTGCAGCTATGTGTTCTCGTTTTTCCTCTGCTCAATATAGTTGTGGCTCTGATTTGAATGACAAGGAATAGAAAAAGAAAAAAACAACAACAATAATAACAATAATAAAATAACAAGGATTAAAAATAACCTCACTTGTGTTTCCCGGTGTCCTAAATAACAACAAAACAAACAAAAAAATTAAACGAATATTAAAAAAAAACTAAGTGTTTCCTGTATCCGTTCGTGTTCCTGTTCGTGTCGTGTTATTGTCAACCCCGTTAACAATCTTAAAAAAAAGAAAACTAAAAAAATTCTACAATGAAGTTATTTATGCTAATAACATTAAGTTTTTGTGTTTTATATAGTCAAGGTAATTTTCGATTTTTTCTGTTTTTTTTTCAAATCAAAACTATTTTGAAGAATTTTCAATGTGTTGTTGATCTGTCGCACACATTAAAAACCAAAAAACAAAAAAAAACAACAACTATTTTCTGTGTAAAAATAAAACACAACGTATGCAAAAAAAAAACAACGAAAAATAATTTTTATATATATAAAAATTTGTGTGAATATTTTCTTGTACATCTTGAAATAAAACAAATATAACGAAAATGAAAAGATCTAACAATAAATATACCAGCATACATATCTACATATATAGATACAGATGTAGAAAGTGAGATCACCATCGCCATAGAGAGATCGGCGCCCAAATGCTAATAATTAAAAATGAAATTTTTAAAAAGGATATTAAAATACAATGATGCAGTTATCAGGCCTTCGATATTCCGTTGATATTCTGAAATTGAATTCTGTGCGGATAACTTCGACAAAGAGAGATCGGCGCCCAAATGCTAATAATAAAACAAATGAAATTTAATAAAGGACATTTCAATAAAATTACTCAGTTATTAGGTCTTCGATATTCTGAAATTGAATCCGGCTTGGATAAGTTCCGCAGCATATTCCAAATATGGAATTTTTTATCACATTCAGGATTGGAATAATTGTTTAGATATAATTTTTTCTTTGATTTTTCCAATAAACCGTGTTATTTTCAGATGCAGAAAGTGAGATCACCATCACCATAGAGAGATCGACGCCAAACTACTAATAATAAAGAAATTAATTTAAAAAAAGGATATTAAAATAAAATTACGCAGTTGTCAGTTGTTCGATATTCCGTTGATACTTTGAAACTGAATCCTGTTTGGATATGTTCGTCAGGGATAAGTTCCACAGCATATTCCAAACATGGAATTTTTATGACCTTCAGGATTGGAATAATTGCTTGGATATAATTTTTTCTTTGATTAAACTGTTTTTCCAGCAAATAGTGTTGTTTTCAGATGTGGAAAGTGAGATCACCATCAGCATAGATAGATCGGCGCCCAAATGCTAATAATAAAACAAATGAATTAAAAAAAGGATATTAAAATATAAAAATGACACAGTTATCAGGCCTTCGATATTCCGTTAATATTCTGAAATTGAATCCAGTTTTGTTCGTCTAGGATAAGTTCCACAGCATATTCCAAACATGGAATTTTTATGACATTCAGGATTGGAATAATTGTTTAGATATCAATTTTTCTTGGTTCAAACAATTTTTTCAATAAACCGTGTTATTTCCAGATGTATAAATTGAGATCACCATCATCATAGAGAGATCGACGTCCAAATGCTAATAATAAAAATATGGATTTTTTAAAAAGGATATTAAAACAAATTGATGATGCAGATCTTCGATATTCTGAAATTGAATCCTGTTTAGATAAGTTTGTCAAGGATAAGTCCCGCAGCATATTCCAAATATGGAATTTTTATGACATTCTGGATTGGAATATATGTTTAGATATATTTTTTCCAGCAAATAGTGTTATTTTCAGATGTGGAAATTGAGATCACCTCACCATAGAGAGATTGGCGCCCAATGCTAATAATAAAAAAAAAATTATTAAAAAAGGATATATTTAAATAAAATGACACAGTTGTCAGGTGTTCGAGATTTCAAATAAAATTGCATCCTGTTTAATATTCCACACAAGGATAAGTTCCGCAGCATACTCCAAATATGGAATTCTTCAAAAAAAAAAAAAAAATCAGAATAGAAATAAATGTTTAGACATAAATTTTATGAAACATATAACTTAAAATAGTTTTCTAAGGTATAGCGTTAATTTCGGAAAATGGCGCCCAATGTTAATAACAAGAAAACAAATTTATAAAAGGATATCGGTATAACTTTGAGCATGTATACATTTATGAGGATTTAACGACATCCAGCACAATGTAAATGTACTATAAGTTCAAAATCGTAAGTTTCGGGCTTATATTGTTCATTATCGAAACTGGTTTTTTTATCTCGATATACTCCGCAAGTAGAATGATTACAACAGAGTTTAAGAACCAAACCCAAAACGCGCAATAAATCAGATAACTATTTTAATATAACAAAGGGGATTATATGGGGACTACCCCAAAAAGGGGGCGAATATTAACAATTCTTGCTAGGGAGATTTGTTACCATATACGACTACAAAAAACCGAATTTCAGCGAAATCGGTTTTAAAACGCTCTCCAGAACCCTAAAATATCGAAAATTGGGGGTGCCCTTCTATGGGGGCTACCCGAAAAAATTGGATCTATATTCATAATATTCTGTGGAGAGATCTGGTATCTATTAAGTCCTCAAAATACTAAATTACAGCCACTTCGGGTGAAAAATACGGTCAAACCCCCTAAAATACTGAAAGTTAGGAGCTACCGTTATATAGGGGCTACCAGAAAAAATGGACCTCTATTTATAATTTTAAGTGGAGAAATTCAATACCCAGTAAAAACACAATACACCAAATTTCAGCGAATACGGTTGAAAAGTGCCCTCAAGAACCCCAAAATATCAAAAATTGGGGGTGCCCTTATTTGGGGGCAACCCGAAAAAATGTGTAGAGATCTGGTACCTATTAAGAACTCAAAATACTGAATTACAGTCAATTCGGTGGAAAAATACGATCAAAAGCCCCAAAATATAGAATTTTACGTTGATCAAGAATATATATATATATATATATATATATGCCGATTCCACAACAGAGGGGTCTACGATCCGAAACGACCCGAGTCTTACTCGACCAACGTACGTGATCTCAGTCAATTGTATGAAAGCAGCATGGCTGCTACAACAATAACGCGAACAATAATGCGACTCTTTTCGCAATTTTTGTATTGTGAATATTCATAATTTTCTCATTTAATTTGGCGCCCAACAGTTATACAACAGTCAAATTTTGGCGCCCAACAATTAGTATTGATAAGTTTATATTAGTTTTCCCTTTCCATATATTTCGTATTAACATATAAACTATTCCCATATAAATTGGCGCCCAACAGTTTTACAATGCTCTAGTGTCACTAGTATCACAATTCGAAAATTAATTTGTAATTTCTCGATTTAAGACATATCCTGAATAGTGTAAACTGTTATTTTATTACTATTGCACAGCAGGTAAAAAATTCGCCATTTATGTAATTTGGCGCCCAACAGTTAGTATTGATAATTTTCTATTAATATTCACTTAATGATTATTCCCACACAATTTGGCGCCCAACAGTTATACAACGTATTAGTATTATTTCTCCAATTGAAAATCTATTTCTTATTTCTAGATTGTCGATATATTCTATATAGTTTAAAATATTATTTTATTATTATTACTACACAACGGGTTAAAAATTCGGCATGTATGTAATTTGGCGCCCAACAGCTAGTATTGATAATTTTCTATTAATTTTGTCTTAACGAATTTTTTGTATTAATTTGATCACTACACAACGGGTTAAAAATTCGGCATGTATGAAATGGAAAAGTAATAATTTTCTATTAATTTTTCCCACACAATTTTTTGTATTAATTTGATCACTCGGAGAAGAAATGGAAAAGAATATACAACGTATTAAAGGATTTATTGACATATATAATGTAATTGAATATTTAAACCCACTGGGTTAACGAAAAGCGGTAAATGTAAACGTACTGGATGTCTCTATGACATATTCATATTTTCCCTATTAGGCAGAGATTTCGGTTTTCGTCAACAAAAATTTTCTTTGAACTCATTTTTTATATTTAAACCCCTATATAGCAACATATGTTGCTTATATGCGGGTGGTCTGTCTGGTCAGTGAATCCGGATGCAATCGAAATTTCATTTAACTAAGTTTTCTTTATTATTGGTTAATAATGAAACGAAATACGCCACTAACATACAGTGGTATTTTCTCGAACTAAAAGATACAATGAATACTGTTAATTTGCTACGATCGCGTACTTGAAATAATAGTAAAATTAATATTAATGTATAGAATTGTATGTGTGTTTGTAAATGTCAACAAGCATCAGCTGACTGAGACTATTTAAATAATCTCAAAGGCATAATAGTACGTCTACATTGTACCGAATTTCGTAAACGCAATGGGTTGAAACACATAAGAGGACTTCAGTATCGGTTTATTTTATTGTAAAAGAATAAAGGAGAACGGCGCCCAAAATTATGTTTGACTCTGATATTCCTTTTAAAAATTGACATTTCATACAAAGCCAACTTAACAGGCCAGGTATTTCGGCGTTGTTTACGTTTTCATAATGGAAGTCAATACACAATAATGGATTTTGAAAACAAACTTTAGAAGCATCTGGTCTCCCTGGATGACCTTATTAATAGGCCTTGATCAAAAGATTTGACATGCGTCAAAATAATGACATTTGCATAAAGTGCGCATTTTCATGGCATCGTTTAACCTGTTTATACCTTCCCATTTTTTAACAGCTGATTTCTCAAATGCTGTTCTTTTCACTCAATCACATTTGTTGAAAGTGCGCCTTTCATCAAAAACATAATTTTTATTTAATCGGCTCTGCACCGATTACATTTTCATATCTGTAAATTGTTTTACTAAACATTTCCATTATCTGTTTTTTTTTTCTCTCCTTTTCTTTTACAGTAATTCACGGCTTTGTAATAAACGATTTTGATGGACCGGAACTGGTAACGTTAGATAAAAACGCTTACAACAAAACCATCGATTTGGATTGTGATTATGAGTTGAGCAGTAGTGTGCCATATTTGTTGGTGAAATGGTTTATGAATAATAAACTGATATATCAGTGGATAAGGGGAAAGCAGCCGTCAGTTTTGGTAAGCCACCTAGGAAAAAAATTAATTATATTTTTTAAAACAAAAACATCTCTCAAATTTCATCTAGTAATATTTCTCATGGTTGGCAACATTGCGCATCGAATTCATTTTAATAATGTACTGTACAAAATTATGCAGTTAATTGATATATGACAGTTAATTGAATAGTCAGCTGCATGATGCAATAATAAGGTGATGTATCAAAACAAAAACCTTTGTTTTTGTCTCGACCAACTGTCAATTTTTTTCTTATAATATTTCAAATGATTGGCAACATTTCACATCGAATTCAAGTAGAAATTACCCACTTTGACAGTTCATCATGACATCAGCTGCGCTAAATGGACTACCTATTCATTGTTCCATGAGTCAGCTGCGTTACATTAATAAACATAACGAGCTTTTAATTCAATAGACTTAAGGTGCATTTACACTGAACGTATTTTTGAAAATAAGTTATTTATTCGATATTTCCTGTATGAAACAAAACACTAATATTGGTCATCAAATCTTATGCTACATTTACATCACAATTGAAATGAACAAATGATTATGAGAATTTAAAACATGCTGACATTTTGTACACCATTTTAATTGTCATATGAGAATCTCTAATCTGAGATTTACACAAGACATTTTTGGGCTAGACATTGACAAAAATACATCACTGTTTTACCTATGTTTTCACATGAAAAATATATCATTTATTTTTACAAATAATTTAAAAAAAATCCACTGAATTTCCAATTGTCAATTGCTAAGCGTTACTGGATTTATAAATATGATTTCAAAATGTTATAAATACATTCCGCGCAGCTGACTATCAAATTAACTGTCAATGTACATAGTTTCTACTTGAATTCGACATGCAATGTTGCCAACCATTGGTCGAATAAGAAAAACATATGTTTTTGTTTTGGATACATCACCTTATTATTGCATCATGATATACAGTACTTTATTATATTAATATTTATATTATGTTCAGACGATAATTATCCATTTTATATAAATTTACAATAACCCTTTTCTAATTCTTTCTTTTATTTCCAGCCACTTCTTCGCGATTACATTGAATTGCGAAAAACCTCAGATGACCCAAATCATGAATATAGTAGCCTGACTCTTAATAATATCAGTATAGAATTAAATGGCACATATAAATGTTCAGTAAATGCCGGATCGGAATATAAATCGGTTGAAAAAGAAGTGCACATCGTGGATTTGAGGCAATATGAAATTGAATTTCATGCCCGCAAAGTACAAAATGAAACACATTTGGAGTGTATTGTCAATAATATATTTCCCAAGCCGATTATTAATATGGTGTAAGTATATTAATTAAAATAATATATATAAATCTGATATTTGACAATATAAATCACGAAAAAAGTTACATTTTATTAGAAGTGTATAAAACGGGATTTACATTAGAATTTTTTTTTTTTTTGGGTTAACCTACTTCATGAGGATTTATTTGACATATATACAATGAAATTGATAATTTAAATCCACTGGGTTAATGAAATCCGGTACAATGTAAACGTACTATAATAGAAGTCAAACAGAAATATTCTGTTTTAGCTATGTAATGCTATATTTACATCGATTGTGATTTATGGAAAACATCATTGTCAGCTGTTTTTTCCCAAGTCTAATGTTGTTTACATTTTCATAGTGAAAGTCAATTCACAATAATGGATTTTGACAGCAAACTTGAGAAGCAGCTGACATCTAGCTGGTCTCCCTGGATCACCTCATTAATAGGTCTTGTTTAAGACAAATGAAATGACAATTAGTAAGTTTGGATTGTAGTGGATTTCAATAACACCTAGTGGATTTAAATTGTCAATTTAATTGTCTATTATAAGGTCAGCCAGAAAGTGAGAATCAGCTGTTTTTCTCAAGTCTAATGTCAAAAATTTGAATGTTGTTTACGTTTTCATAATGGAAGTCAAATTTTTCACATATAATATTTCAAATGGAGGCAACACTGCACATCGATTTCAAGTATAAATTACCCACTTTGACAGTTAATCCATGGCACAATCAGCTGTGCTAAATGGACACCTGATATCTTGATTAATTGTGCAAAGTGGGTAATTTCTACGTTGAATTGCATAATGCAGTCAATTCACAATAATGAAATTTTAATAGGAAAAATTTGACAGAGTCAGACAAAAACGAAGGTTTTTGTTGGTATACATCACCTTATTATTGCATCATGATTTAGGCAAAGGAAATGACAATTTAATAGTAAGTTTATATTGTAGTCGATTTTGTTAACGCCCGGTGGGTTTAAATTGTCTTTTTAATATTAAGGGCATTTTATAAGGTCAGCCAGTGACAGTCAGCTGTTTTTTTTTTTCTAAAGTCTAATGGCAAATATTTTGGCTTTGTTTACATTTTCATAATGGAAGTCAATTCACAATAATGGATTTTGACAGCAAACTTGAGAAACAGCTGATATGCAGCTTGTCTCCCTGGATTACCTTATCAATAGGTTTTTGGTTGAAATAAATAAAATGACAATTTAGTAGTAAGTTTACATTGTAGTTGATTTCGATAACCCGCGGTGGGTTTAAATTGTCAATTTAATTGTCTATTATAAGGTCTGCCAGGAAGTGAGAGTCAGCTGTTTTTTCTCAAGTCTAATGTAAACAATTTGGACTTTGTTTACATTTTCCTAATGGAAGTCAATTCACAATAATGGATTTTGACAGCAAACTTGAGAAACAGCTGATATGCAGATTGTCTCCCTGAATGACAATTGAATAGTAAGTTTACATTGTAGTGGATTTTTTTAAGACCTGGTGGTTTTAAATTGTCTATTATAAGGTCAGCCAGCAAGCGAGAGTCAGCTGTTTTTTTCTCAAGTCTTATGTCAAAAATTTGAATGTTATTTACGATTTCATAATGGAAGTAAATTCACAATAATTGATTTTGACAGCAAACTTGAGAAACAGCTGATATCCAGCTGGTCTGGATGACCTTATTAATAGGTCGTGATTAAAGCAAAGTAAATGACAATTTAATTGTAAGTTTATATTACACTTGATTTCATTAACCCAGTGGGTTTAAATTGTCAATTCCATTGCCTATATGTAGGTTTTATATCATAAAACACGTTTGATGTAAATGTACCATAAATTAATAACAATTCACAATTACCAATGTCAAAATGTTTTATTCTTTCATTATAATTATAATTAATGCCAATATTTTAATGCCAATCTTTCTCTTTACAGTTCCAACGATCCCGATGCCATCATTCTAAAAGATAATCCCTCCACCATTTTGCGTGATAATTCCTATTTCAATGTCACCCAGACGGCGGTAGCTTCCAATGCTGAAAGTGAAGAATCCTTTGATTGTTTTGTCTCCTTTGAAAGTTTACCCTTTAATATTTCGGCACGTGAAGTAGCCGCTCAATTGGAGGCTGGCACCGATTCGGCTACACTTATTGTTAATCCCCATGTTGTTGTATATATTTTTGTTGTTATATCAACATTGTTGATGTTTTAGTCAAATATGAATTGAAAAAAAACGAATGAAAACATTTAATATTTATTATTTATTTATATATGAATCGATGTATGTATTTATTTATTTGTTTGTATATTATTAATAACTTAGTACCGAGTACATAAACTAATATGAATTTTATATATATTTAATAAAAAAAAAAACAAAATAACCAAAAACGAAAATTAATAAAAATTAATCTGGTCAACTACTAATAAAACGAAGAAGAGGGTTTTCTTTTTTTTTTGAGCTAAAATTGAGCTAAAAAAGAAGTAAAGATTGTTTGTAATTACCCTTAAATTCTTATTTCAAAAACTTACAGATTTTCGTAAAAAACTTTCGATGTAAACATGTCAACAATTATCAGCTGACAGTCATTTAAATCGCCGAATTTCGAATTATTTCAAATTTTTCAGCTGTTTCTATATCTTTTTTGTTAGGTAACTATTTTAAATTTTAATTTTACTTGATTTAGTTAACCCAGTGTGTTCAAATTTTCAATTCCATTGTATATATGACAAATGAATCGTCATAAAACGGCATATACATTAGAACTTTTTTCGGGGTTAACCTACTTTATGAGGATTTATTTGACATATATGCAAAGGAATTGACAATTGAAACCCTCTGGGCTAATGAAATCGAGTTAAATGTAAACGTAATATTATGCAGGATAAACCGGTAAACACTTCTAATGTAAATGCTGTTTAATGCACATTATCAAAATAAAAGTTATAGTCTAAAATAGCGTAAAAGCATTTAAACGTGTTAATCTCGTCTCTGAAGATTTATTTGACATTTATGCAATTCAATTTAGACAATGGACTGAGTTCTCAAAATCGAGTACAATGTAAATGTACTATAATATATGATTCTTCCAGAGCACGATCATGATGCAATAATAAGGTGATGTATCAAAACAAAAACCTTTGTTTTTGTCTCGATTATCTGTCAAATTTTTCCATATAATATTTCAAATGGTTGGCAACACTGCACATCGAATACAAGTTGAAATTACCCACTTTGACAGTTAATCAAGACATCAGCTGCGCTAAATGGACTACCTATTTATTGTGCCATGAGCATGATCTATTAATAAGGCCACCCAGGAAGCGAAAGTCAGCTGCTTTATCTGAAGTCTGAAAAATTTAGACTTTGTTTACGTTTTCATAATGGAAATCAATTCACAATAATGAATTTTGACAGTAAATTTTAGTATCAGCTGATATGCAACTGGTTCCCCTGAATGACCTTATCAATAGACCTTGCTCCAGAACTTCCAGGAATCTACTATTTTTAAATATTTCAAATTTGTTAAAAGGTTTCTGTCTGGGATATAGACTACTCAACAATGTCTTGTAAAAACGTCAGGTTCATGATGCAATAATAAGGTGATGTATCACAACAACAACCTTGGTTTTTGTCTCGACCATCTGTCAAAATTTTCCATATAATATTTCACACGGTTGGCAACATTGCACATCGAATTCAAGTAGAAATTAACCACTTTGACAGTTAATCAAGACATCAGCTGAGCTAAATGGACTACCTATTTATTGTGCCATGGATGCAATAATAATGTGATGTATCAAAACAAAAACATTTGTGTTTGTCTCGACCATGGCACAATGAATAGGTAGTCCATTTAGCGCAGCTGATGTCGTGATTAACTGTCAAAGTTGGTAATTTCTATTCAAATTCGATGTGCAGTGTTGCCAATCATGTGAAATATTATAAGGAAAAATTTTACAGATGTTCGAGACCAAAACAATGGTTTTTGATAAATTTTTTTAATACATCACCTTATTATTGCATTTTTCCTTATAATATTTTACACGGTTGGCAACACTGCACATCGAATTCAAGTACAAATTACGCAAATTTATAGTTAATCCAGTCATCAGCTGCGCTAAATGGACCACCTACTTATTGAGCCATATTTGGATCTATTGCAGGAATTAATTAAAAAACAATAGTCCCTTCTCTAGTTTCTCCCATAATATCACACGAAAATATAAAAAGCTCTACAATCATTTCCGCACACTTTTGTTCTACACTGTTAATATTTTCCATTTTTATTTAGCTTTAAATATATGTATGTATGTATGTATATTTTTCCATTTCCCCAAAAAAAAGCTTTTCATTTCTATTTTGAAAAGCACATAACCGTCATAAATTTTAAAAATCAAATTAGCAAAAAAAAAATTCTTTGCCAGGGTCATGTGTTCACGTAAGTGGTTGCGGCGTCTGTGTGTGAGGTCCATACAGGGAGCGACCCTGGAAAGTTCATTTGTATTTTGTTTGTTGTTTAGTCATCTGTCATTAACCTCCAAGATGGATATTTAAACAAAAATATAATTGACATTTTTGTTTTATTTTTTGATGTTGTTATTTTTGGAAAGATTCTCACTGTTTGTGTGTGTTTTTCCTCTTCTTATTTAATGACGTAAAAAGAAATTTATGTAATATTTATCATATCTATTTTTTACATACATACTACAAATTTTTATATACATATGTTTTTTTTCGTAGTAAAAATTTTTAAATTCTTGCAGGTTCTGTACATGGCATAATAACATGCAGTCATGTGTTTCCTATTTTTTTTCATAAATTTGCTTTTGACAGATTTCAACTTTCAAAATTGAAATGAAAATATCTTCCTTGTACGCATATCATGTGTTCAGTGGCAAAAATCGCTAAATAATTTATATTTATAAATATTTTGAATTTCCCTGCTTCTAAAACTTATAAATAAAAGATGTAACAATCATCGTTAAATCTTGAGAGCAATGATCAGCTTTAGAGAATATATTTTGTTTAATTTATTGAAAATATGCCAATCGACATACATCAAATTTTATGGAATTTAATTTTCATTTTATTTAAAATTGATAGATGAGTTTCAAATTAAAAAGGTTGCCATCGTCAAATTCTCAAATGAGACTACCTTCTGTAATTATGCCATGAATAATACAAGGTAGGACAACTTAAGGTGAATAACAAAAAATCAACTATGTTGGTAGTGGCTTCTTATGTCTTTTGACAGCAAACATAAGAGGCAGCTGATATCCAGCTGATCTCCCTGGACGACCATATTTATAGGCCTTGGTCCACAAGAAGCTCGCGAACGAGCATTTTTATCGGATTTTCAAAAAAAAAAACATTCCTGTGGGTTTTGCGAAAATAAGAAACAGCAGCAAGATATGTTTAAGGATCTTCGGTAGGAGGAGGTTCTTTTTTTGATTGTTGTACAACCTATTTGTTGTCTTATTCAAATATAATCCACTGGATTTGTGAACATGATAACGTGACGTATACGCAATGGAAGTGACATTTGAGATCGAGTGGATTTAGTAGTCTAAACGTAGCCTTAGGCATGAGGCAATAATATGGTGATGTACCACAACAAAAACCTTTGTTTTTGTCTCGACCATCTGTCAAAATTTCCTTATCATATTTCACATGGTTGGCAACATTGCACATCGAATTCAAATAGAAATTACGCACTTTGACAGTTAATCGAGACATCAGCTGCGCTAAATGAACTACCTATTTATTGTGCCATGGTTGATATTCAGCCCAATCGTCAAAAATAATTCCGTGCGCTATTTCTTTCTTCTCCCTTTTCCGCAATGGTAAAGAAAATTCCGCTCGGAATTTCCTTTTTTTGCATCTCACATTTTAATACTATTTTTATGCAACAGTGTAAAAAGGGAGTTAAAGGGAGAAAGGAGAAAAAGTAGGCATCATAAAGAAACAAACAAAATCGAAGAGAGATAAAAATTGTAAGTATGATTTTTCAAAATATATATCGAAATAGAAATAAATAAATTAATTCTTTGTAGGTCGAAGACAAATAAAACCCAAATGCAGCATTTAGTGTCAGTGATGGAATTACATCCTGACATTGCACGTGGATTCTATATAGGGAGCAAAGTGTCTCTTACTCGGTTTTGGAAAAAAACGGAAAATGAGCTCAATTCGCTCAACCTCATTGGAAATAATTAAAAGTGAATTGGATGTCCAAAAACAACTTTTGGAATCCATACAAAAAATGAAGAGAATCAAAAATCCAAAATGAGTATCAAAAGCGAATATACAGAACAATTGAAAAATTGGGCGATCTTTAGAAAAAACTTTACCAAGTAATGGAAAAATTCAAAGAAAATCAACTGGATGAAATGAAGCGCTATAACATTCTGATGGAGAAGTTACGAATACGGGAGGTAGAGTACAAATTGGCAAAAACAAACCTGCAATTGGAGCAACTTAATTGATGAATTTCCTCTAACTAAATAATAAGACTCATGAGTGATATGAATTCAATTTATTTAACTTTTTTTCAAGATGTACAAATTTAAATTGTGTTTATATTTTAATAAATAAACTAATATACTTTAATGGGTTGTGTTCTGGTATAAGTTATGCAAATCTTGTCCAATTTTCTCTCTCAGGTTTGGGCCGGCTGTAAAATATAGGTTAGGGGACGTCTCTTCTTCTGGTGTTTCTGTTGTTATATCATTTTCCTCAACATTGTAATGTATTTAATGTATTTTTATGTGCTTGCAATGATTGTGGCAATTCAAGAGGATTGAAACTATCTCGCAATTGTCTTCTTGACAACCTTGTTCTCTGGAAGTAGCAACATCCTATAAATATGCTCTAAGTATAATACTATTTATTTTTAGGTTTCAATTCTTTATTTCTTTTTAATTATTTCGTACAATACGAACACTTTAAATTTGTGCAAACAAATAAGGGTACACAAAGTATGAAAAACACACCACAATTGATTAAAAAGAGATGCCATATTCCAAAAATTTTACTCCTACATTTTCTACGATTGGAGGATTTTTCTCTCGAGAGAAATGCTTTCCGTGGGAATAGAATTTCTCCCACATTTAGGCGATTGGGCTGAATATTCAAAATCATCATAAAATAAGTATTATGTAGATATTTATTACTTATGTTTATGTAGTCAGCTCCCTTTAAATTTATTAGCGAAATATTTCGCACAAAATATCATAACATGCTCGCACTCCCTGTAATCCAGAATACCTAATTTTTCGCCAAAGCGGATTTTTTCGCTTTCGAACTTCATTCAGAACAAGGCCAATCGAGAATGCGAAAAAAATCACTGAGAAATGTTGTTCAGAATAAGTCGAAGGGGAAGAGCGAGTAAATTCACGTGGAATTGACATCCAGAACAGTTAATTTTTGTTTACGTTTTCAGACGATTAAGTCAAATTTTGACAGTTGACGTTCGCAAGCTAAAGAAAAAGCGGAATGAGAATCTTCTCACTAGTGAGATTTCTCCCTAGCGTATGAATACTATAATAATTACTAATACTAATTACTTATTTCGAAGATCTGTTACACATTTTGAATCTAGATTTTTGGGTTTACGGCGATTCTTCTTTGCCTCAATATGTTAACAGGACTTATCATTTTTGAAATTCATGGAATCATCAATTATCCCCCGTATTGTAGATTAGAAAAATGAGGAGAATATCCCCAACAAAAAACTAAGGGAACTGATGAGGATCGGTGGCGAGATTCGAAGCTATACGGACATGTTCTGGCATTCACTTCAACGGTAGAAGTGTAACGAACATACATCGACCTGTTCTGTAATACACTTTACACCCGTTTGAAGTGAATTATTTACACTTACATTTTCATAGTGAGAGTCGGGTGTATTCATATTTTTCTATATAAAAGAATATTTTGAGAATATTTGAAACAAAGAAAATGTTATTATTGCGTATAATTTCTTTAAAATCACAAAGTAAACATGAAACACCATTAAAAACAAACTTTAAATAGATACTAAGGTTTGTGATGCATTTTCTTCAACAGAATTTCTTGCTTGACACAAACAGCTGATTTGAAGTAAGACCGAAGAAGATAGGGTTACCAAATGTTCGCCTTAAATCAATCGACAAATTAATGATATTAAAGAGTCTTTCATACATATATTTTATGTTGCGAATAATAAAATATTAAAAAATAATAATAAAATTATCGTTAGAATTTACGAAATTACTAAAAAATAGAATGATAGAAACAATGTTAAAAACGAATACAGTTTTTATTGTTTGGTAACACTATTTCTGCAAAGTACCATGTCGACGTTTATTTTTGTCGCAGTTCGAAAATTTCAATTCACATGATAAGCAGAACAGGGGGGTTAGAGTCTAAACGCAACCATAGAGTCTAGAGTCAGCGACAGTCGTTTGCCGTGTGTTTCTTATAGGCAACGGGAAATCGCGACGGCTGACGTTCGCGTCTAGCGGCATGGCGCTAGAATAGATTTTATTCATTTTTGCTCAGCGTCATACTCAAAATTTCTCTCTTGCTCTCAATTGAGTTGCCATATTCTAGGTAAAAATCAACAGTGCTACCAAATTTCAATGAGAATTTATATCAAAACATATGGCAGTACTGTTAAAAAAACAAATATTTTCAAAGATTGTGGATGTTTTTTAATGAATTATTAATAAAATGGAAGAAAAATATTTTTTTCAATAATTTTATCCAAATTCCTTAACATTATTGTTTATTAAATAATAAATTGATTTTGGTTTGCGCAACGTAAAATTTTCTGTCAGAAAATCAAAACAAATATTGACATTTTGTGCCGCTAACGCCAACTCTTCCGTTTGGTTTTCACGCCGGCGAAAACGTATGACGCTGACTCGTGACTCTCTGGTTGCGTTTAGACTCTTACTCTGTATTGCGATGCGTAAGAAAAATTGTATCGCATCGCGTAATTGGTACTCTCTAATTCGTTTTCGTATCTCCTTTCGCATCTACTTTACGCAAATGTGGCATCACCGCAATCTGTAATACGAAAACGCATGTCAAACTCGTTCGTTAAACGCAAATATCTTGCGTTAACAAAATAGCAAACGCAAATGAAGCGAAACATGTAAATAAGAACAATTAAAGTTTTTATTTACATCTAAATTGATAATTATTTTGGGTGAAAGCCAAAAAAAGTTACAGTTGACGACTCAGCACCGTCAGTTCCAAACTTTAGTAGATTTTATGGTGCAACACAGCGATTTGGCAAGGGGCCAGTTGTAGAGTTCAAATGCGAAACGACGCGCCAAAAAATTGTAGAGAAAACTGGATGATGAACTTAATTCAGATGGACCTCCTGTAAGAGATGTCGCTGGAACCATAAACACCATTCACAATTTTAGCCGCTTGGCTTGCATTTTCGCCTTTGTCAAAGAAAAACTGTAAAATGTGCCTAATTTTCTCATTTGATCGCGATCGGATTCGAAGTCGGGGCATTTTTCTCTATATATGTATATAAAATGTGAAACTATGTGTGCATATTTACAGGTTGGTGTTGATAACCTCCTTGTCCAAGCAATTTCAACGTCCACTTTTATTGGATTTGGAATTGCTGTGGATCTATTTGGAACGACGAGGTCATTTTTAATAGCGTTTATTAAAAACATAAACGCATCTTTATTGAGACGAACATTTTGTACAAATTTATAAAAATTAAATATTTGAAAACGTTTGACACATTATTCGTACTTCTATTTTCTCTTAAAATTCTTTTTTTTAGTTGGTTCGTCATTTTTGTTTAAAAAAAACACTCGTACCACATAAAAATATGTTTTTAAATGTTTAATGTTAAAAAAAACACTCGTACCACATAAAAATATGTTTTTAAATTTTTAATGTTAAAAAAAAAACACTCGTACCACATAAAAATATGTTTTTATTTACAATTTTTTGACGTTTCCTTTTGTCATTTTTCGTTATTGTTTACTTTGTGGTGTCAGTGTTGCCCTATTTTGGATTTATTTTGCGAATGCGTTTGCGTGAGCAATACAGAGTACCAAATTGCACTCTTAACGCATTTAGCTTTCGCATCGCACTGGCTTTCGCAACGCAATACAGAGTAACCCCCCTGATATAAACGGTCACAGCTCCTTTAAATTGGAGACCTCTTTTTTACTGTTTTTTTTTTGTACATAAAAATGCTGCTAAAATTCAAGAGAAGAAGAAAAAATAAAAACACATTTTTGCCAATATTTTTTTTCAATTATTTTATTTATTTTTTTTATATATTATTTTGTGTTTGTTTTTCTTGTTTGTATGTTTTTTATATATTGTTTTTGTTTTTTGTTTCGGTGAATACTTTATTAAATAAAATTTTAATTTCACTAGGCATGCTTTTCAACACACACACATATATATTTAATGTTACTAAATATATATATGATGTATATATTGTATATATATATGGTACTTATATTTTTTTTGTAGTAATAGTTGTTGTTCTGCTAATTGGGTATTATACCATTTTTTTTAATATAAGTTAATTTTTGTTGTTTATACATATACACACTCAACATTTTGGATTTTTTTTTTAAAGGTAATAATTAATAATAGTTTTTTTTTTTTAATTTTTTTTTGGTATATGATGTATTTAGATCATCATATTTATATATATGTTTTGAGGGTTTTGGTTTTTGTTTTCAAAAAAACTGGTGCGGCGGTTTATCTAAAAAGTTATATAAGACACACGTACGAGACGAAAGAAAATATTGGGGGATTTGTTTGTTGGCTTTTTTCATTACACTGTTGGGTGTAATGTATGGGAATTAATAGTAAATTTTATTAATGTTGTTGTTGTTCTTCTTCTTCTTTTGAGGTTGTTGGTGTACCCAAAAAAAAATTACATGTCCTTATTTTTTTGACGCCAACACTTTTTTGTTGCTCTGCTGCTTAAATTTTGCTGAGTAGTTTTTGTTGTTGATGATGCTGATGTCAATTTACCATTTATTGGTGTCAACAACATCAGGAACTATGTTTGAAAAAAAATATTTATATATAAAAAATATTATTATTGTTTTATAAGACTTAAAAATTTATCTAAAAAGAAACAACAAACTTTCCATTCAAGTTTTTTTTCTTTGAAAATAGGAATCGATCGCAGGGGTTTGTTGTTGTTGTAAAGCTGAAAGGGGGGAGAAAAAAATCTAAGGCAAAGAAACATTTCAGAATGTGGAATCAAACCAACAAAGCTCTCAACTCCAAAACCTAGATGTACTAGAGGGCGTGGGGAGGTCCGTTCCATTTATGAGTTAGGAGAAGAGCAAAAATATAGCGGGGAGAGTGTGGTGATAACAAAATGATCTCTTTTGGCAGGTCACAGCTGGGGAAAAGAACTCATTTTTTTTTCTTTTTGGAACACTAGCAGGGTCGGGTCGTTCGTTTGTTTGGTGCTTGTGATCCAAAGTAAACACCACAAGCCAAAGGGGATCTTTGCCCCTCTTCTCCTTTTTAGGTGTGTTTAGTCTCTAATATACTGGATCTGTGTGTAAGGCTGTAGGGGTGGGGTATGGTTTGGGGGGAGGGGGTTTGTTTTTCTTATTACAAAACTTCATACAATTTATTTTTTTGTAGTGAAAAAAAACAATTTCTTTTTATTTCGTGTTTTCCGTTGCCATTTTTTCGTTTTTTTTTAGGTATCTGTGTATTGTTGTTTTTCTTTTTTTTTTTTTTGTATTATACTTAAGCAGCTATAGCATCTTAGGAAAAAAATAAATAAATTTTATGAAAAATACATCGGAGGGAGGATAGATTTTTGGTGGTGGTGTTTTTGTTGTTGGCCTTTTTTATGTTTTGGTGTTTTGGTAATCTTTTAATGGAAATTGGGGTTAACTGCAAATGGAATGGAAGAGAAAGGTATTCAAAAAAAAAGTTTATGATTAGAATCGTAGAATTTTGAATAATTTCGTTAAAAATAAATTTGTTTGGGATTTTTTGTTTTGTGGGCAGTAGAGGGGGGTTAGTAAAACAAATATTAAACCAAATTTTTGTTTAGATATACAAATTTTGTTGTTGTTGTTTTTGTATACAAGAAGCTAGCGAGCGAACGAGCATTTTTAGCGGGCTTTCGATAAAAAAAAATCATTCCTGTGTGGGGGATGGCATAAATTACAACGATGTAGACGAAGAAGAAAGGAAGCAGCAGCAGCAAAGATATGTTTAAAGGCTTGGAGATCTTCGAGGTGGCGAGAGGGAGAGGTTTTTTTTTTCTTGGTGTTTTTGTTTTTTGTTCTACAACCTATTTGTTGTCTTTTTTCCCTTAATTTCTATTTTGTTTTAAATTCTTCAATATTTGCATTGTGTGTGTGTGTTATTAACAAAAAAAATATTTAGATTACAAGGGGACATAAGTAAAATCTAGGCTACAAGAACTTCTAAAAATCATAGAAAAATTTGTTAAGAGAAAAATTACAAAAAAAAAATCAAAAAATTTACTAAACAATAAAAAAAGTGGGGTTATGTTGAAAAAAAAATATTTTTCTTAAAAAAATTAACATTAATACAAATAAAAAAAAATATTTAAATAATAGGGGAACCTAAGTGGAATCTAGGCTGCAAGACCTTCTAAAAATGATAGCTATGACAAAAAATCATTTTTCCTAAACTATTGAAAAAATAGGGTTATGTTGAAAAAAAAAATTTTAAAATAAAAACATTAATACAAAATTGCAAATTAAAATTTCCTACTGTTAAGAAATATTGAGCAGTATTATACAATTTTTTCCTAATATTTCATTAAAATATTTATATGTAAAAAAAAAGTTGGGTTAGCATGAAATTTGTTTTTTAGGTTAGGAAAAAGTTGAAAAAATGTTTTTCTTATAAATGATGAATTTTATATCAGATAAAAAAAACAGCTTTGCTCTATTCCTAATATAATTAATATTTTCTTTTTTGTTCCGAAGGAATTAATTTTTTTAAAAAAATATTGGGTTATGTTGAAATTAAATAAAAAAAATACTTTCTTTAAAATTTGGATTTCATCACTGACTAATGCGTTTTTAAATGTGAAAAAATTAAATTAAGATTTTAAATTTTTTTTTTTAAAAAGTTAGGTTATGTGTATGACATTTTAACAAAAAAAAATATTTTTTTAGGATGTTGAAAAAAAATTGTTGAAAAAAAATTCTTTCAAAATTTGGATTTCATATCAGATTAAAAAAAAAAAACACATTTTTGCCTATTCTTAATAAAATTAAAATTTTTTTGTTCTGAAAAAAATTATAAAAAAATATTGGATTATATTGAAATTAAAAAAAAAAAAAATCTTTAAAATTTGGCTTTCTTCACTGACTCTAATGTCTTTTTTAAAGTAAAAAAAAAATCAACAAAAATTTTAAATTTGTTTAAAAAAGTTAAGTTATGTTGATTTTTTTTTTTTTTTTTTTTTTTTGGCAAATAACTTTTTCATATGAAGTTTTCAAAAAATGTTTCCCTTAATCATTGAGAAGTTCCCTTTCCTAAGATAATAATATTTTAATTATAATTTTTTTTTTTAATTTTCAAAGTTAGGTTATGTCAAAGAATATTTTTTTTTTAAATTCTAAATTTTAAATAACACTTAAAAAAACATTTCAAGCCTTTAGAAATTCTCTTAATAATTTGCATGATATAACGAAAATCAATTCTAAGTTAGGTTATGTTGAAAAATATTTTTCTTTTTTTTTTTTTTTTTTTTTTGAAAAACTTAAGTTTTCAATAAAATTTTAAAAACACATTTGAAGAATTTAGAAATTCTGTTCATAATTTGCATGATATAATAACGAAAATTGTAATTCTTTAAGGGTAGGTTATGTGGAAAATGTTAAGGAAAATTTAAAAAAATTTCAAAGTTAGGTTATGTAGAAAAAAATTATTATTATTATTTTTTATTTATTTTTTTTTTTTTTTTTTTTTTGAAAAAATTAATTTTTTAATGAAATTTTAAAAACACATTTAAAGAATTTAAAAATTCTCTTATTAATTTGCTTGATATAATAACGAATATTGCAATTCTTTAAAGGTAGGTTGTGTTGAAAAATATTTTCTTGACAAAAAAAATAGTTTTTAATAAAAAATTAAAAAAAAAAATTAACCTATACTCTCTTTAATTCTTTTCCTAACAAGTATATTTTGTTATATTTAAATAAATTTTTATTAATATTATTTAAAAAAAATTAAAAAAAAAATTAAAAAAAATAAAAAAATGGATATTAAAGTGAGGTTAGAAATAAAACCTTGCTAAAAAAATTGATATTAAAGTGAGGTTAGAAATAAAACCTTGCTATTTTTTTCCTAAATATTATTTTGAAATGTGATCTGTCATTGCCTTTTTGTCCTAACCCCTAAATCTTTAATTTTATTTTGTTAATAACACACACACATGCCAATTTAATAATAGTAGAGAAATTATTGTTTTTTTCGTGTGTATTGTGGTTGGTGTTGTTGTTGGTGTATATATGTATGTATGTGTTAATTAATAATGCAATAAACATGCCAATAGCAATTTTCTTTTAATTTAAATATATTTGTTTTTTTGAAGAAAGAGTTAAGATTTTTGAAATGAATTTTTTGTTTTCTAAATGGGATGTATGTTTTTTTGGTGTTCACAACTCATTTGAATTTGTTGTTCTTGTTGTTTTTTTTTAATGTAATTGTAGTAAATAGTGTTTTTTTATTTATTTATTTTGTTGTTATATACAATTAAAAATGTTTTATTTTATTTATTTATTTTTTTTCGCTATCCTTAATATTTCGTTTTTTGTTTTTCTTTTTTTTAATTTAATGCAGATCCTTAAAATGGAGACATTTAATAATTTACATATATATTTGTTGTTGTTTTTTGTTTGTTTTGTTTTTTTAAATATTATACCACTAAACTAAATTTACGAATGTCTAATAACATTATCATCATTAGTGAATGATTATTAATTAAATCATCATCAAAAAAAACGAAGACTATTTGTTGTTATGTTTTTTTTTCTCATTTTTTTTTAAATATATATAAGTCACAATAATACTTCTAAAACCTATATATGTGTTCTTGTTGTTTTTGTTGTTATGTTTATTATTATTGTAGAAATACAGCTAGTTTTGGGGCCAACAATTTTTAGAGAGAGAGTTTGAGAGTGGTTTAGAATCTCTGTAGAAAAAAAATAAATGTGTGGCCGAAATACAAAATGAGGTGGTATTTAGTTTTTGTTTTGGCTTTTTTTCTCTATGTGGAAATTTTTCCTTTTTTTGTTTTGTTGTTGTTTTGGAACAAATAATGCTTCCCTACCAAGCTGTATTACCCAAATATTTTTATTTGCTTACCCAGGTTTTCAAAATCCCTTCTTTTTGTTTTGTTTTTCTTATTTTTAAATTGCTATGTATATATATATTTCTTAAGTACCGATAAACAAAAAAAAAGTTGAGAGAGATGGATAGACAGAAGACAGCATGAAAAAAGAAAATTAATTTAATGGAAAACTTTTGTGAGAAGAAATTATTGCTTTTTTGTTGTTTGTTTTGTAACTTGTTTTCCCTTCTTCTGTAAACCCAATACATAAATATTTAAACTATTTATTTATATAAAAAATTATTTAAAAAAAATAATCCTCCTTACTATTTTGTTTTCTTCTTTGTTTGATAAAAAATAAATCATAACCTATAAATTTGTATAAAAATATTGTGTTGTGGCTTTCAAAAAAAAAATCTATATATGAACAAAAATTGCACTATTACATGTATGTGTGTGTGATTTGTTTGTATATAATTAATTTTAATAATAATAGAGAAAATAATGGGAATATGTATGTATGTATATATGCTGCAGAGAGATTCATTCAAATACGCATATAGCCAAATATATGTATAACAAAATTATCAAACCAAAGAAAAAAGCTTTATATTTTGTTTTTGTTTTTTTCAATAAGGGTAGAGAGAAAAAGGCGCCAAAATGTTATTTTTTGTTTTTAAGCCTAAAATGTTATTAAGTTTTCTTTTTTTGCTTTTTGCATTTATAAGTTAGTATTGGGTAAACAATTAGTTAACATTATATAATATTTGTTTCTTTTTTATTATTTGCAACAATTTGGAGTTCAAACTTGGTTTTTTATGTTGCCTTGCATTTTGTTTTGCTTTGAAGTAGAAAAATTTGTTTTTGTTAGGTTAATAATTTAATATATAAAGAAAGCATTTAGAAAAAAAAATAGATACAAATAGAGTAGAGATATTTGAAAACAAATTAGTTTGGTATGCACGCACATAACGACAATGATTATTGGCTTTTTTTGTATCGTATATTATATATATATAGATGTAATAGTAAGTAGTAGTTGTTTTTGTTAAGAAAATTGGGAGGTTTTGTTTAGAGGGGTTGGGTTGAGGGGGGGTTATTAATTTTAAACTTAAATTAATTTAAGACTGCATAACAAACAAGAGGCCAAAAAATACGGCCCACATTAATATGATCCCGTGCACTTTATAAATGGGATTCTCACCGTCAGCGATCTTTCTAGCAGCGAATTTGAGTGTTTCATCTAATAAAACTACAGGAATAGAGAATTTCATCACAGTTATCCATTCATCGCCCGACAATGGTGTCACTTGGAACACGGTCTATATATTACATATTAAAAAAATGTTTTGTTAATAAAAAATTACATTTTTGGGGTTAGGTTTAGAATAAATAAATAAAAAACAACAACAAATACTCACGGAAAGAACATCTACGTAGAGAATGACAAAGTGCAATGAGAAGGACAAAGCCATTGAGCCAATCAACCACATGTTGGACCATGGGGGCATAACCAACAAAGATTGATTTTCAGACAAGCTGTAAGAGGGAGAGAGAGAGGAATTTTTAATAAAACGATGTTTACAAATAAATTTGTAAAAAATTGATAACCAAAACTTTATAAAGATTTTTTTGAAAATTATTGAAAAATATTTTTTAAAAAAATATTTTTTTAAAAAATAATTTTTATAAAAAAATCAGATTTTTTTTATTATTTTTTATTTTAATATTCCAAAATATATATTCAATTTTTTTAAATTCTTCCATTTTTTTTTTAATCTTCAAAAAATATTTTAAATCTTTAAATCAAAAAAAAAATAATTATTTTTTCTTTTAATATTCCAAAATGATTAATCAATTTTTTATTAAATTTTTCCAAAAACTTTCTGTAAATCTTCCAAAAATATTTAAAATCAAAAAAAAAAAAAAAAAAAAAAAAATTTCAACATCTTCCAAAATTTTTTTCAAAAATAATAACTTTTTTTTAAGTCAGATTTTTTATAATTTTTAAATTTACCGAAAAGATTATTCATTTTATTTTTTAAATCTTCCAAAAATACATATTTTTTAAACTTTCAAAAATATATTTTTTTAACTTTCAAAAAATATATATTTTTTTTAGTCTTTCAAAATAATAATATTTTTTACCCTAAAAAATATATATATTTTTTTTAATCTTTCAAAAAAATATTTTTTTAAAAAAATGTACGTTAATTTTTTTTATTATTTTTGGTAATTTTCTAATATTTTTCAATTTTTTTATTTTCAAATATTTTTCAAATTTTAAAAAAATATATTTTTTAAATTATTTTTATAGAAAATCTGATTTTTTTAATTATTATTTCTTTTAATATTCCAAAATATATATTAAATTGTTTTTTTAATTCTTCCAAATTTTTTTTCAAATCTTCCAAAAAAAATTTAAATCTTTAAATCCAAAAAAAATTAATTATTTTTTCTTTTATAATATTCAAAAATGATTAATAAATTTTTTATTAAATTCTTCCAAAAACTTTCTTTAAATCTTCCAAAAATATTAAAAATCTTGAAATCCAAAATATATTTTTTTTCTCAAAAAAAAAAAAAAATTCCAAAAAAATGTTTTTTCAACATCTTCCTATTTTTTCAAAAATAATAATTTTTTTAAAAGTCAAATTTTTTATAATTTTCTTAATTTTTTTTTTTAATTTTAATTAATTATTTTTAATTTTAATTTTTTTAAAACATTATTCATTTTTATTTTTTAAATCTTTCAAAAATATATATTCTTCAATCTTTTAAAAAATATTTTTTTATTCTTTCAAAAAAAAAAATATTTTTTTATTCTTTCAAAAAAATTTTTTTTTTTTAAAAATAGATTTTTTAATCTTTCAAAAAATATTTTTTCAAAAAAAAATTTAACTTAATTTTTTTAAAATTTTGTTAATTTTTCAATTTTTTTTTAATTTTCCAATTATTTTTTAATTTTCCAATTTTTTTAATTTTCCAATTTTTTCAATTTTTTTAATTTTTAAAACATATATATTTTTTTTAAATTTAAAAATTTGAAATCTTCTAAAAAATATATTTTTCTATTAAACCCATTTTGTTTTTGAATTCTCATAACTCACCTGTTCATGGCGTTAAGCATTTCAATTGTTACCAATACGGAAAGAGCCATGGTCATGGCATGAGGATCGCTGAAGATCTTGCAGTCAACACCCTTGAATTCATCACCACCGCCCAAGCAGGACAAGTGATGGGTGAGTTGCCAGTAGCTTAGATGGGGACCGGTTTCGGCGAACAAGAACCACCAGGCAGCAGAGCCGACGGTAGCAGCACCGACATAACCACCAATAGCCATGTAACTAGAAGAAGATACAACAAAAACAAAATATTCAAAAAATAAATCCAATCGCTACTCTCTCTCCAACTTACCGGAAGAACAACCAGCCAGAAATCAAACCTTCATCAGCCTTACGTGGTGGTTTTTCCATGATATCCATATCAGGTGGGTTGAAGCCGAGAGCGGTAGCTGGAAGACCATCAGTAACCTAGGGCAATCAAAAGAAAAAACAAATTAGTTATCTCTCGCCTGCTTCTTCTCTCTCTTTTTCGTCTTCTTACCAAGTTAACCCACAACAATTGCACGGGAATCAAAGCCTCTGGCAAGCCCAAGGCAGCAGTCAAGAAAATGGACACGACTTCACCAATATTGGAAGAGATCAAATAACGAATGAACTGTTTCATGTTGTTGTAAATGGCACGACCTTCTTCAACGGCAGACACAATGGAGGAGAAGTTATCATCAGCCAATACCATCTCAGCGGCAGATTTGGCTACAGCAGTACCCGAACCCATAGCAATACCAATTTCGGCCTTCTTCAAGGCGGGGGCATCGTTGACACCATCACCAGTCATAGCAGAGATTTCGTTCATGCTTTGCAAGTATTCAACAATCTTCGATTTGTGTTGGGGTTCTACGCGAGAGAACAAGCGAGAGCGGGATACGGCAGCCTTTTGTTCGGCAGGCGACAAGTCATCGAATTCACGGCCAGAGTAGGATTTGCCAGTGGTATCTTCATCTTCGGCGAAAACACCAATACGACGGCAGATAGCTTCAGCGGTGGCCTTGTTGTCACCAGTGATGACAATGACACGGATACCAGCGGCACGGCAACGGACAATGGCGTCGAAGACTTCCTTACGTGGGGGATCCAACATACCGACAACACCGACAAAGGTAAGATTGACTTCGTATTGGTAGAATTTGGTGGAGTCTCCCAAGTCCATTTGTTCGGGGCTCATGGGGCTATCGGCAACAGCCAAAGCCAAGCAACGCAAGGTATCGCGGCCAGTACCGTATTGACCGGTCAAGGTGAGGATCTTGGCCTTCAAGGCGCTGGTCAATGGAACCTTAGAGGTACCGACACGGGCGTGTGTGCAACGTTCCAAGACACCTTCGGGGGCACCCTTAACGAACAATTTGGGTCCAGTGCCCAAGCGGGATGGCTTCAAGGGTACACAGTAAGAAGACATGGATTTACGATCGCGGGAGAATTCCAAGGTGAATTCCTTCTTCCACTTGGTTTCGATTTCCTGACGGACGCAGATGGCAGCAGAACGACGATCCAAACCAGACTTGTTCACACTGAAGGGGTTCATCTTTTCGGCCAAGACAATCAAGGCGGTTTCGGTGGCTTCACCGACCTTTTCGAAGCACTGTTTGAATTCATTGTAATCAATGGCGGAGTCGTTACACATGATGCAGATGGTGGCCATTTCTTGCAAGACATCGTAGTCGGCAGCCTTAACCTTTTGGCCGTTCAAGAAGACCTCACCGATGGGTTCGTAGGTGGAGCCAGTCAATTCGAATTCCAAGAAGCTGCTGTCATTGCCCTCAACCTTGTCGAAGACGAACATGCGGGAAACGGACATTTGGTTGGTGGTCAATGTACCGGTCTTATCGGAGCAGATAACAGATGTGCAACCCAAGGTTTCAACAGATGGCAAGGAACGGACAATGGCGTTCTTCTTGGCCATACGGCGGGTACCCAAAGCCAAGCAAGTGGTGATGACAGCTGGCAAACCTTCGGGAATGGCAGCTACAGCCAAGGCGACGGCAATCTTGAAATAGTAGATGGCACCCTTGATCCAGGAACCACCGTGGGCGGGATCGTTGAAGTGACCAATGTTGATGGCCCAGACAGCAACGCAAATAATCGAAATAACCTTGGACAATTGTTCGCCGAATTCATCCAATTTCTGTTGCAATGGAGTCTTGATTTCCTCAGTCTCGGACATTTCAGTACGGATTTTACCAATGGCAGTGTTGAGACCAGTACCGATAACAACACCACGAGCCTTACCGGCAGCGACATTGGTACCAGAGAACAAAATATTCTTCTTATCCTGATTGACGGCACGGGGATCGGGAATGGCATCGGTGTGCTTAATAACAGAAACCGATTCACCAGTCAAGATAGATTGATCGATACGCAAGGTGGTCGAGTAGATATGTGTCAATCTAATATCAGCTGGGATCTTGTCACCCACAGATACTTCAACAATATCACCGGGCACGATTTCCTTCGCTCTAATCTTTTGGATACCTGATTTGTCTTGACGGACAATTTTGCCCATCTCAGGTTCGTATTCTTTCAGGGCCTCGATAGCGGATTCAGCATTTCGTTCTTGCCAGACACCGACAACGGCATTAGCAATCAAAATCAATAAAATAACTAAAGGTTCTACAAATGCAGTGAAGGTATCTTCATGTTCTTCAAAAAGGGCTAAGACCTGAAATGAGGGGGTGAGAAGAAAAGAAGGGATTATTGTTAAGTTGAAAATGTAAAAAAAACAGTTGTGTGATGGAAAAATGGAAATGATAGGATTTGTAACAAATCCCGGGTTCCTCTTCCATCAAACGCTTAGATTTTTTTAAATTTAAATTGGGGAAAAAGTTGGGTATATAATCTCTTAGAATCTATGTTTTCCATTACATATCCAGCTTTAGTTGTGTATGTGTGTGTTTTACTTACGAAAGAAATAATAGCGGCCAAAAGCAAAATCTTGACAAGCAAATCATCGAATTGTTCTAAAACTAGCTGCCAAATCGATTTGCCTTCTTCGGTAGGTAATTCTGCAAGGTAAGAAAAAGAAAAAATAGATTGTTATTAATGTGTAGTTTTAGGTAGAAAAAAATCAGGATCGAATTTTGAGGACCCAAGAAAAACAAAAAAACTGAAAATGGTGAAAATCCCAGGCCGAACCTATTATACCCCTTGCCATATGGATAATGACATTATTTGGAAATAAGTATCCTACCCAAGTAGGTTCTATACTGCGTCAAGAAAGGTTTAAACAATCTGGACAAACCAGAAATACTAAAAAATTCCATCCACTTTTGATGAGAACTTTGCATAGAATCTCTTCGAGAGTTTCTTCAAATGGGGGCTATATCCAAAACTCTTAATTTTTGGTAGAGAACAATAAAGATTAGTTTTTGGTAGGGAGGTTTACTACACAGACTAAATCATCCAAATAGCTAAAATCGATCCGGATCTTTTTACATTTCAAAATCCCAAAAAAAACGACTAAATCTAAATCGAAATATCTAAAATAGGAATTGTATATTCCCTCTTCAATATATGTTCCAGTCTGACCTAATTTTATCATATCCAGTCTATGGAAAATTCCATAAATATTTATGAAAGGTATAACTTACCGTTGGGGCCATATTTCTTTTGGTTTTCTTTAACTTGGTCGAGTGTCAGGCCACGTTCAGGATCTGTGCCAAAGTGTTGTAACACCTGTTCGACGGTTTTAGCATGACCGTCTTCCATGGCTTAGCTTTAAGAAGCACTTAGCGTAACTGTAAGAAAACAAAAAAAGATAAAATTGTTAGTTCTTTTGTAACCAAAAAATGTACTCAATGAGAAAAATAAAACTATGTTCAAATACTAAACACATGTTATGTTTTTTTACAATAAGTTTTTCTGTTTTGGCCATGACATTCAAAGAAAAACGCGCGAGACAATTTAATAATAGCAAAAAAAATAAGAGGGAAATAAGCTGTGATTGTTTTGCCGCTTCCTATGTTTCGATGAACAAAAAGAATGACTAATATTAAAGGTTCGTTGTGTGTGGGAGAGGTCTAAGATACATTTTAACTTCAATCGAATCCAATGGAATACACATATTCCATGAAATTGACAATTTAAACCCACTGGGTCAACGGAAATCTATTAGAATGTAAATGTCCTTTAACATAACCTCAAAAACGTTTTTTTTTTTTTTTAATTTCATGTTGCCTTATAATGTAAAGAAAATCATGATATGGCCCTGCGACTCTATTCTGCAAGACAATATTTATATGAATATTTCGTTTTTTAAATTATTATATCATTTAAAAATCAGTTACTTTATTATTGGACATCAACGATCAGGCGTTAATTGTTCTTCTTCTTCTTCTTGCCACTAGAGCTAACATTCACTGTAGATCATGATTTTACTTTAATAAATTACAAAAAGTAAAAGGATTTTGGTACTTTTCCCAGCATATAATTCAAACTATGGTCCTGTGACTCGATTTAGCAACAATATTTATAGTTTCTTAACTTATTATTTAAATAAATCACTATCACTTCATTATCTGACATTACAATACTACTTTAAAGTGGATGATAATTGTTCTTCTTCTTGTTTTCACTAATATTCACTGTTGATTATCAGCATTAAAAAATAAGAGAGTTACAAGTATTTTAGCGCTTTCTTTGCAAAGAGAATTCAAACAGTATCCTTATTAAGCCACAACATTTATATTCATAATTTATCATTTAAAAAAATGCATCACAATTAATTAAAGTTAATATTACTAGCCGTTTATAGAACAGATGATAGTTTTTCTTCTTCTTCTCTGCACTAACTAACATCCACTGTGGATTAACATTACAACATTAAGGAAATTAGAAGAGACTTCAGGATTTGGCCACATTTCACGTAAATAAAGGACTTTAGCTCTTTTTGCAAAGGGAATTCAATCTGCATCCTTTTTAACAATATTTATATTCACAATTTAATATTTTAAAAATAAATGCATCACAATTAATTTAGTTAACAATACTAGTTGTTTTTAAGACAGGTGATAGTTTTTCTTCTTCTTCACTCCACGAACTAACATTCACTGTGAATTAACATTGCAACATTAAGGAAATTAGAGGATTTTTGCACATTTCACTTAAATATTTAAAACTGTGACCCTGAGGTCTAATGTAGTATTAATATTTTTAATTTTTTATTTTATATTGAATCCACACGTTAATATTATTACTTTACTAGACTATATTTCATTAAAATTCTTTTAAGAAGCACAGTTGATAACTGTGTTTCTTCCTTTCACTAAGTGACATTCACTGTTGATTATTGACCCAGAACTTGAATTGACAGAAAATATTTGTAATAATTTGTCTTTTAAATAAATGTATCACTTAATAATTCTAATTTTCTATAATAAAACAATGTACTGCTTTTATAAAACCATTGATAACTGTTCTTCTTCCTTTCACTAACTGACATTCACTATTGATGATTGACCCAGACGTATTTGTAATGGTAATTTGTCTGTTAAATAAATGTATCACTTAATAATTCTACTATAAAAAATTATACATTTTCTTCTTATTATTTTCAAGAAAAAAGGTATTAAAGATTTTTCGAACATTTTGCAAATGATTGGCCTTTATCTTTATTCAACTGCTGGTAAATTGTATTAATAATTTATTATGTAGACATATTCTATAGGTAATAAAGATATCAATTATTAGGACAGGTGATAATAATTATTCTTCTTCCCTTCAAAATAACACTTTCGCAATATAAGTTTATGAAATTAGAATCGTCTAAATAGTATAGTAATATTTGCACAACTCATTTATTATTACTTTGTTGCACGAAAAAGGGGTTTTATAGTTTTTTAGAACAAATTGTTTTTAACAAAAATCGTCAACCTGTCGATCTTCAATTTATATTGGTGAAAGTTTACACTTTAATTAAAAATATTAATTTTTAAAATAGGTGATAATTGGTCTCCTTTCCTTGAACTCTCACGATCAAATGTGACTTGTGTGAAATGAGAACTAATTTTCAAAGTATTATTTTTAATAATTCAATTAATGATTAATTAATATAAAAGAAATCGGATTTCAAAAAAAGTTAGATTATAAATAACTTTGTCAAAGAAGAACATTTGCCCGATTAGAGAAATCAACTGTTGTAATGTACCGTTCACACAGTGACTTTAATAGCATGGGGGATTTTATTCTCCAAATGTGGGGGATTTTTTTCTCCATTAATATGTGACTTATGTGAAATAAGAAAAATTTAAAAAATATTATTGCTTATTATACTATAACGATGATTCAATTATAAAAAAACACGTCAGTCTTTTTTTTTTAATTAAGTTATAAATAATGCTTCAAGTACCGATTAAAACGTTTGGCTTTTATAATGTACTGTTCGCACAATGATAATAATATATTTTTTCTCCCATAAAATAGGTGATTTTTTTAATAAAAAAAGGCAGAGACTAATTATAAAACTAATGCTACATTTCCACTGAACATGATTTCGGTAGTATACATAAAGGTATGTTAACATTTACGAAATCCACTCGATCTCAAATGTCAATTTCATAGCGTATGGGTCAAATATAATCCACTGGATTAACGTGACGTATACGCAAAGGAATTGACGTTTGAGATCGAGTAGTCTAAACGTAGCCTTAGTTAAATCTTTACGAAAGGTAAGAGGAAATGATGACATCATAAAACACGGACTCTCTCTTTTTTCAAATGTCATTGCCGCTTAGACATATATATGTCAAATAAATCCTCATAAAGTAGGTTAACCCGGTAAAAAGTTCTAATGTAAATGCCGTTATACTCTTTCCCAAAAAAAAGATCTATAAAATTTACGTCTTCATAGAAATTAGAAATTGAAATAAGATGTAAATTTGGAACTAATTTTTTATGTCTATGTGCAAGTTTAAATATATTAAAAAAACAAAACGTCAATGAGAACGCTCTCTCCTCTACGATGACAAAATGACAAATGTCTGACAAATCCTATTTTGCACGAGAGCAAACAAATAGCAAATCGCATTTGTAATTAAAGAAATGTTATTAAATATAAATTTCATTTATAAAAATCAACTAATCCAGAGAAAGTAACTGTCCGCTTTGATATATTTTTTGTTAGACAAAAAAAAAAAAAGAATCGAAAAACTTTCACAATTCCCCCAAACCCCAGACAAAAGGTTAATGTGCGATAATATTAGCAACAACAATGGCAAAATACAACAACAAAGAGACACAATTTTTGCTACGTAGTCCACATTAACAACAACAATAAAAAAACAACTTGTTTTTCTTCACCTGGGTGGTGATCTTTGCAGTGTGTGACATATACCTTTATCAACCCTTAATGAACATGACCAACAAGTTTTTGTCGTTGTTGTTGCTCTTGCTTAATCCTCATACCCTGCCGACAAGGTAGAAAAAAAAATAACCGTGTGAAAACTAATTGTGATAAGAACTTAAAATGAAAAAACGACAACAACAACAACGTCGCAATTTAAATCGGAAGTTTGCTGTTATCTTTTTTTGTCGCTTCTTTAAAAGGTGGTGGTGACACCCCACCGCCAACCAGCAAACAATATTTACTGTATATCTCCTAATTGAAAGCTGGAGAGATAACATTTTTTTTAATCTGAAGATAACTGAGGAGTACCATGGGTTGGCCTAGTTCCATTATGCTTACCCTAATTTATAATAACAACAAATATTTGTCAAAGAAATCTTGTCAAAGTAAACCTTTGCCAAGGTAAAAATAACACAAATCCTATTTAATTTCTAGTTTTCTCTTTTAAATGAAAGCCAAAATTATTTTGTTAATTGTACATTTTTTTGGCACAAAAAAAGTCTACGGGTTGACCCATGCCGTGTAATAATGGGATGACTTGGTCAATTCGAAAAGAACACGTGTAACATCATATAGCGTGGTTTTATATTTGCCGGGATCGGGATCGGTGTTGAGAGTTTCTCTCTCTCTCAGTGGTAAATTGTGAATTGTGTTGGAAAACATTGCCACAGGTAGGAACAAAAAAGTACGAAAAGGTACCTTAAATTCTACTTCAAATGATAATAAATCATAATTATCGAGAAATATTGGCCAATATTTATACCAGTTATTTGCATAAATAACATATGTTATAATTTAAGCGTAAATGTATTCACGAATAATAAAAAAAATCTAATTTTTGTTTTGGTACGTTTATGTCAATTCGTACCTTTTGTTAACAAAAAGTACGCTTGTTACAAAATTAAAAATAGCGCAACTCTAATTACTCTCTCTCTCGAGAGAAACTCTCAACACCGATCCCGATCCCGACAAATATAAAATCACGCATAGAAATAATTTTGCAAACATTCTCCCGTTGCCTGCCTGCGAGACAGCCTTCTATTTGCCAAATTGTCGTCAATGCCTACGTATCGTTATTCACTCTCTCACTCTGTCTCACATTGGCTCTCTCAACACAGAGGCAGGCAGCACACTCTTTTCTTTTCACTGACTTTGGATGACTGTTAATGCTTCTTCTTCTGCTTCGTATTCTTTATGAACTGACTTGCCCGCCGCCTTTGCCGCTTGTTTTCTTTGCATGAATAAACCCGCTTCACCTCTTACCCAAACACACACACACACACAGCGAAAAATAAAAATTTACGAAATAAAGAAAACCAATGAACAATTTCACTTATATTTCGTTTAGACGACATCTCAACCACATACAATAACCATTCTATTGCGCATTCCTTT